AACCTGTTGGTCCCTATTGCAAAGGCGAGAACACAAATACTCTTGCAGATGTACCAGTGTGTTACCTCTGCTATGCAAAAGGGAAAATCCACAGTTCAGTTGTATGACCCGTTGCAGCACTTTTCAAAAGCACAACCAGAAAAAACAAGGCTCATATCTTTTTTAAGAACAAACACTATATGCAGTTTTTGCAGTTAAATAGGCTTACACACAAAGATTGTTTTGTTCACAATACCAATGAGTACACTTGCATATTTCCATGGGATCAGAGTACAGGAGAATGTAAAACTTACGAGTATACTGCCACTGAGATGAACCTTTTAAGCTAAAACAAAATCATTCAGTACTTTATGATGTTTGGATCCAAAATAAAGTTTACTGTGAAAAGTTTTGTATCTGAAATTAAATTATTTGAAATAAATTATAAAATACTAAAATTAAAGTGGAGGGCTTTTTCTTGTGCTTTAGGATGGTCCAGGGAGGTAGGTCCACATGATCCACTCTGGTCCCTTCCAACCTGACCCATTCTGTGATTCTTGGAAAGCCAAGCCCTTCTCAGAACACTAAGCACAGCACTCTTTTTCCTCCCAGTTAATGTTTATGGTTGCCAAAACTCAAGACAACAGTTCTGCTGCCACTGTTCTGGCAGGTCTCCTCTCATATCAGAGTTAACTTCTATATTCCCCTTCCCCTCAGACATCCACCACAATTATTTACCACTTTTCTGTTTTCTATTTTATGTTCGCTCTTTTACCCTATGCTGGATGATTCTCCATTCCCAGCTGGTGGCTCCCTTATTTCCCCCTCATTTCTACTCCTTCTTGCTCTATCTGCTGCTTATGCTTTCCTCAGATGTTCCTTTTTCCACTCTTCTTTCTCTCAAGTGGTCCACTACATTCCTCTCTCCACATAGCAAGCAGGAACTCAGAGAACAGTTGACTTGACACAAAGACTGTTAATTTCATGTTACTGCTTTACATTTGAATGCACAGGGAAGATAAAAAGCGAACAGAGGTCAAAGGAAAGATTACAGGAATCTCTGCACTCAAGGATATGAGCTATCTGTCCATCAGACCTCTAGTGAAGTAATAATCAGTTCCACTAGCTGCATAAGCATAATCATTTCTTTTATCTAAATAAATAAAACCAACACTCATAAATAAACTTTCCAGAACTTCATACTGGATTTTACATACGCCTTTGACAAGGTGGTGTTAGGTAAAAGGCTGGACTAAATCTCAGAGGTCTTTTTCAACTTGGTTGATTCTGTGAAATGAACACATTATGCAGTATCAGAAAATACATGACAAACACATGCTAAAATTTTAGAAAAACTGAGAAGGAAATTATACCATATTATGTCTACACACACAGTAGATACATTGAGAGGCATTCTTTCAATACCCTATTTCTGTTGTTCAAATTAAACAGAAAAGCAAAACAAAGTTTCTGAAAAAAGTATCATAAAATAAGAGAGATGAACTACTAACAACAGTCCATGCTCACAGGAAACAATTTGTCCCTCATCCTGATGAGCAACAGTGCCTCTATGCTTGACTGGCATCTCCAACTTTTGAGTATTCACAAATTCTCCAGTAATCACTGGACAAAACAAGAAGCATATCTTCTTGAGACAAATCTGGGTTGGACCCTTAACATGAATCATCCCTGAACTACACTGGAAGACCGAGAGATAAAAATGCTACCTACTTAGATCTTATCTGATTCAGAAGTCTCAACAGAGGAGTCAGTTCCAGTCAGAACAATTTAGACTGTAAAGAACCTCAAGAGATCATTTAATCCAACACACAACTGAATGAAGTGCTATCCTAGACTTTCATCTACTCCCGTTAATAACAATGGAGATATTACACTGCAGGAAAAAGATGGAGATTACATTCCCATGACCACAATTAATCTATCTTGACACAGTCTTGAGTTAGTCACACTTGTAGAATCTACCAATGAAGAGACTATATTATTTCTTATTTCAGTGTGCACAAGTTGTCACAGCCAAAAACGTAATAAATTGTTAAGGCAACAGGCATTTTCAGGGCACAGTATTGTTGCAAATATCCCAATTTGATTTATTCAACATTATAATGAAGATGCTGCTATTACAGGTACTATATGATGCAGCCTTGGTTGCTTAAGTCAAATTTTGCTTAAGTCTGCTTTCTTTACAAATATTAGACTATTTTTTTTAATTTAATTGATTTCCTTCATGATGTTGTCAGGCAGATCTAACCGGGAAGGACAGCTAAACCACAAATTCAAGGCCAGGTACTATCCGGTCCTAGAAAACAAGTCAATAAAGACTGTAGTCTGAGGACTTGTTCCCTGTAAGCCGAATGAAGCTAAAAAGCAATGGGGTACCTTGTGGATATCCTAAAGTCACAGCAGTAGAAACTGAATGTTTGCTCATACAGCAAAGTCCTTGCATTTCACACTGCCAGCATGTCTCAACTCAGCCTGGATGAGTCACCCTCCTGGAGGGTCATTGTGCTACTTCAGTTCTGGATTCTCTAATGGGACCGCCATGAATGATATTATACGGCGGCATTTGCTCCAAGAGGACACTTGTCTTCTAAGAACTGGATAAAAACCACTGATTTCACACAGGTCAGTAAGTAACTATCAAAACAGTAGTGACTAAAGGTCCTTACCAACTTCTGCCTGCTTTGAACTGGTGACACAGAAGTGATGGGAAAGACTCCATTCTCCATTAGCAGTCCCTAAGCTACCCACTACATGGTCTTTGACCTGTTACCCAGTCACCCTATCCCATTCCCACCCTATGTGAGTGAACAAGCATCTTTGTTTATGGAAATTGCAATCCTTGGGAATTTAAATCTAAAATTCTCACAGTGTACATTATCAGTACAACTGACGCTGACTTCAGCTGGTATTACTTAACTAAAATGCTTTGTAACTCAGAAGAGACTTGTAACTTACAGGGAAAAAACACGCAGTCTCTAAAACACAATACAAACATAAATGCTGCTTCCCAGGAAATCAGGAGGGCAAGAGGGTTGTGTTCTGAAACAGGAATCTGAAGCACACTATTCAGGAAGACTACGGTAATCTCCAGTTATGTACAAGCTTGCTATTCAAATATAAAACCAAGTAACCTCAAAACTAGATTAAAAACTATTTTGTGTCTTTTACTGCTAACAAAAACTCTGTTATGGAAAAAGGTTCATGTAAGGCACTTTACATAAGATCAAGGTGGTTTAATATTGGGTTACATACCACCTAACATTTTAAGGTAAAAACATGCACAATCATTTTAGAAAAAAAGGAGTTCTGCACACGTCAATGCAGTTTAGAACATTACAGACTGGACGGTTTCTACCAATTACACTATCAAGAATCATAGGCAAAAGATACTTTATTATCCACAAATTTTCCATTTCAACTGAACACTGAGAAGAAACTATCAGTTGATTAAAACTACACAAAAATCCCGTTGGTTTTCAAATAGAAACCACTAGCCACTACAACTAAAAATGTGTTCTGAAAATTCATCTACTTTTGAAACGTGTGGTACATTTCATTTCGTGCTTTGTAGTACTTTAAAAAAGAAAACGTTCCCTCCCTGTAGTCCGTGTATTATCTCTTTCAATATATTTAATAGATTAAGAGCTTTTTCCAGACAGAAATACTACAGAGATATCAGAAGTGAACACTTAAATGCATACATGCACACTAATAAAAAGACTCTAAAAACCTCAAGAATACAAATCAGTACTTTTCTGGTGTAAAGTGTCATATCCTTTAAAGGCATTTATATATCTGTAGAACTGTTATTAGCTACATACACATCTGTGTAAAACACCTAAGGACAAATGATCAGGTTCCATCCCACATTATAGCACACAATAAAAAATTATGCTTCCCACACAATTGCAATATTCTCATTAAATATCATACCTCTAAGTATCACTTGCTATTAATACAACTCAGTGTAAATCCAGAGCCTGTTTCTGTTAAAAACAACACCAACAAAAAACAACACCAAAAAAATCCCACCTCACATCAGTCAACTACAGTGGTATAAATTTCTCTGTCATATAAATTTACTCAGCTGTTATACAGCAGGGGATTACATCAGCACATTGTATTGCAATAGCCTAATGGCTCGAGTTGCACCAATATAAAACCCACTTTAGAGTTAGTAGTTCATTTACAATGGCCAATTCTACCATGTATCTAGCTACCCTGTGGTAGAAGGTTGTTCATTTTCCCCTAGATATATAAATCTTTCAAGTATGATACGGCACCTGTAGTATTCAGCAGCCAGCATTAAAGCCAAACCAAGTTTTACAGAAACTTTACAGAAATTTTTACCTCTCTTATCCTGAGTTGTCCTTCCTATTTTCCATACGGAAGACCTAAAGATTTTTCCCACACAAACCATGACCTCCCTCACTAAAACCTAGTAAGAATGAAAGGGTCAGGGTTGATTCACCCCTGCTGCTTGGAAAGGCTGGAAGAACAGCTACATCTACGCAGTCAGACAGTAAGAGCTGAAACACATGCTGACCAACAGTCTACATCTGTATTTGCCCAAACCTAAACAATTACCTTGAAAATAAGAAAAATATATACATACACAATTAAATACCGCATTATCTACTATCAATATACTTAACTCCTATAAAATGGCAACTACTTTAAAGTTCTTACAGTACAGGGGCCTTTTTTTTCCCCTCTACAACATAATAAATCAATTATATGCTACCATTCTGTGACAACTATGAGTTTAAGGAAATTATTTAAATATTTATCTCATAATATTCAAGGGAAAAAATGGACAAAAAAACTGGCTCTTTACAGTTGATGTATCTTCTCAGCTTAATTAACACAATCTTCTCCCATTTTAATTTGCACTTAAGAAGCAGGAACTTTACTCCATTTGCTAATTACTACGTTTTCAAGCTGTTTTCTTGAAATAGATGACAGCCTACCACACTAGGAATCCAAATTTCTCTAGTTACCTCGAATTACGTAATTGTCCAAAGCCTCTTCCATTCTTTTCAGTGCTTCAGCTCTATTAGAGCCATAGGTAATCAGCTAAAGAAAAAAAAAAGGTATTTACATCACCTAGAAATTAAAGGTTTGTCTCTAGAATTTGAATAGCATTTAAAAATGAAAATGATTTGCAGAACTTCTGCAGTCACAAAACCTGTTCTTGCACATTACTGTATCTGTGCTTCAGAGGCTCCCTGAAACATCAAGAAAAAACTAAGACATCTTAACCCATTCACTCAAAGAAGGCCAATCATTTTTCCTTCATACAGATTTAAGCATTTAAACAAGCTCTCAGAAAAATCAGAGCAAAGGTTCAATATCCAAGTTTACTCTCCTGACTCCTAATGCCTAACCAACTTTAAAGGATGTAATTTTTTTGACAACTGAACTCTGACTATGATGTCATATTTTAATTTTACCAATATGTTACTGATTAATAAGAACTAACACTAAGAGACACTATCAACCATTTCTTTCAATGCTTCTTTTTGGAAGCCAGAATTATTGACATTTTCATCCTGGCTAGACTATGTTAACAGAGACAGATTGGCAGCATCTAAATCAGGCAGTACTGGTTGATGTTTAAATCAGAATCTTTTTAATAGTTAGAAACTGCAAGACAAATAAATTACAGTGTCAAAAGGTTAAAAGAATTTTATTTAGAAGTGACACTAAATTTCCTCCATTCCACATCTTCCTTCACTTCTCTTATATTCCCTTGAGGCATGTTATACCTGGCACCTTCAAAATACTGATTCACTAACCCTTGAACATGTTCTCACTTAAAAGATTTATGTATAGAATTAGTGCTTCATACCTTTAGAATACTGAAAAACAATAATCAACTCACTTTTGAGATCATGGGATCATAATAAATGCTAATATCACTTCCTTGTTGTATTCCACTGTCAACACGTACCTTCAAAAATAAGAAGCAAAAATAATTACATATTGATGTGAAAAAAAAATTTCAGCCCTAGGATCAAATCTACCCATCAGCCTTACAACAAACACCCACAAAGCTTATCAGGTACATTTTTCCCTCTGGAAGAACTGAAATAATTATTTGTTTTTGAGAGAATCTGAGAGGAGGGAAGGGAAGTTTTTTCCTCCACCAGCAACATTTGAAAATTATTCTCTCCTTTAAGAGAAACTTGACTGCAATCTTCAGTCAATAGTCAAAATTCTCTTTTGTTCTCCAGAATGCACAGTAAACACACTAAATTTGATTTAACAATTTAGGTGGTGTTACACATTAGCTTCAACTCTGAACATATCCAATTCTGATTTACTCCCTGGAATAAAACACAGTTGTAATTATTTTTCTGATTGGCATGAAGGATGACCCTTATAATCACACCCTTTCTGCATCTATATATAATCACATTCCTCATGTTCCACTACAGCTATTCCAAGGGCTTCAGTAGGAATAAAAGTAGAGAGCATTCAGCAGGAACTTTGGAGTTCTGCTTTATCAGCTCCATAGGAATACTGGTCCTGTGGTTTTCATGTCTGTAACACTTTCCTTCTCTGCCTCACCCTCTCAACTGTAAAACATTTTTTTTCTGTTGCTGCTGTTCCCCTGAGGCTTTAATGTTTACACAGCTTTTTCCATGGCTTTGCTTTGTAAGGACACAGCCTCAATTAAAGCTCTGATTCTGCAATATTCATGGAAGAAAATAACACAAGTTCAAAAATTTCTTTTGAAGAGTCTGATTGCTGTTAACCAGCCAACAAGTGAGTTAGTATATTGCTGATTCTTGTTTTCATCTCTCAGTTTGATTTCATCACTGTAACAATGAGGTTAGCCATATAAAACTTTTCAAATGAGCCATTTCTGGGGAATAAATATTTATTAAATTGCTGATTTTGAGCACTGGAATTTGAAATATTTTTTAAAAAATAATCAAAATAACTCGAGAGTGATAAACGCATTCTGGGGATCATCAGGATGGAGGGCTCTAATCAAAGCTGTTGAAGCAGCAGGGCTCCGATACACCACATTGTAAAGGGGGTGGGAAAGAGGGTCCTGGAATCTCACTTAAATCTTCACCTGTGGGAAGGAACCTTTGTAATAAACAGCAGCTCATCTGTCTGCAGCAAGGCAGAAAAAGGTCAATGCAACGGCTGTTAGGCCTTTAATATTTTAATTTAGGCAATTATCAAGGGACCACATGTAGAACCTCTTGTCTACAGAATCCACATGAGGGCATGATGATGACTTTATTATCCAAGTGACATAAAAAGATACCCTAGCAGGTGTACTCACTTCCTTCAGTAATAAACACTCTCTGACTAGTTTTTAGGACATTAGTTTAGAAAGAAATCTGCTTATTAATAAATTTCTATTTATATATTTATGCTTACATATTTATATATCACTTCTTCTTTATTTGTGTTTGTTTAGTATATTTATTCATATATAAGGCAGTATTGCTTCTCTACCAATTTAATCACATCTTATCTGAAAGTGCTTTATCTATGCTTAACTGGGCTCCCCACTACCTACATGAGGTACATTTAACATTAGCTACTGAGGAGATGGTAGTTCAGACATATCAACATTACAGAAAAAACATGCAGCGTATGTCTTAGCTTCCTTTCTTCACACTTTTCCCTATGTACAATATCCTAAAAAAGTTTAAAATTTTTTATAAACTATTGCATAATTTCCTTTTAAAAAAAATCTGGAGTCCCCTGTAGAAGTTTAATTTTCATAAAATAAATTCAAGATGACTGAAAAAATGACAGCAGAAAAGCAATACATTTATACCATCTTCAGTTCTCCCTGTGGTGCTTACATTTTCAGAGGTTGGTAACAGTAGGTGATTTTATAAACTATATGGTGTGACAGAACTTAATGAATATTGGATGAAAAAGAAACCCTAATTCAATAGATACTCACCATAATGTGCTGAACTTGATAAACAGCAATATTTACTAGACCTCCAGCATTTACTTCTGCTTAACATACTTCCTTTCTTTTAGCCACTATTTAAAATATCAAGGAAAAGCTAGGGTTCAAGATCCTGCTCTGTCCTAGAGCTCATTCCTATTACAGGTCAAACACTTTGCTGTTGTATTATTTTTATGTGTTATTACAGTAGGACAACAGTAAAATGAAAGATAAAAAATGCTTCAGAGGTTAAAAAAAAAAAAAACAAAAGTACAATCTATGTCTCAGTCCTACAATGAACTACTAGTACACCAAATTCAAGTTAGGAATGCCTACAAATTCTAGTATTTCTCAATTCTTTGCTATATATAAGAACTTTTTCCTTCTGGTAAGAGTCATTAAAATACCAGACTGCTGATCACACTGGCAAAGAGCAATGCTGGAGTTCTCCATATATGGCAGTACATGTTGTGCAGGAGCACTGAACATCAAAGATTACTATCACAGTACAGGGGTTTGTTTGTGGTCACTTATCTTAAGTTTCATTATCAAAGACAAAAAACATTTGGTATTTATGAGTACCACGTTCTGAGGAAATTACAGACTACATAACAAAAATAGCCAGCATATTCCTCTCTATGGCTAAGCAACAGCCCTCGCCAGCCACGTACGTACACCAGTTCTACCAGCATGAGCAGCTGACACACGGGCACAGGTAGACGATCAGAGCTAACTGGAGGCACAGAAGAAATGAATTGCAAATACATTTGGCAATATGCTATTTATAAACTGAACTCACTGTGACACACTACAAGTCTCTGCTAACTTTTCTTAAGATAAATTGTTGACAATTCTAAAATCTAAAATGCGGAAAGTAAACACTGTGGTACAATGGGCCTGAAACACTGAACCTTTTTAGTCATATTAATTTTGTTCTTAGCAGCATGACATTCTCAGGAGAGAAATTAGTTTCGCAGTGGCAGAAATACATGTATTAACACACCAATTCATGACTGTCTACATAAAATAGTTGTTCTATTTTTAATACGACGGGAGAAGAGAAAGAGAGCAGCCTATACACTCCATATGAGCTCCTCAAACCATTGCTCTGAAGCCTCCAGTGTAATTAAAATCTTTTTCTTTGGTACCACGATGGACCACGTGAAGCAATCAGGCATCTCCCACCCTTCATTTTCAATTCACCTCTCCCCCTAAGCACAACTCCCAGCCCACCCCGTCTACCTGACAAGTGACAGCCCAATCTGATTAAATGCTTGCAAGGGAGGGGACTCATGGGCCTCCATGACAGGCCAAAAGTGATCACCATGGAGATACATAATTACAGCTGTCAACGCATCTACTGTCCTGCTGGCATCAATTTGATTGCTCCCAGCAATAATGATAGACAAAGCTTAGTGTGCACTCTCCTACACCCAATCACTTTATCTATTCCGTGGTCCATTTAGCTGACATGCAACATTCACACAAGCAAATAACAGCAGTAAGCAGAACATTTAAGGCATTTTAATTGTTTTTTCTTTGTATGGATGGCTTACAAGCGCAAATGTTATTACATAAAACTCCTGCTGCAGCATTAATTGAAGAAAGATTTGGTGGGACAAAGACTGTAGGGGGTATAGTTTGTCCATTATCACTTGTACTTTCAACAGGTCTCACGTTTGGAAAATTGCAAATTGCAAAAACTTGCAAGGGCAAAATGTTTGACATCCTGTTAGCTATTACAACATGGTGAAAACTTCTAACAACCACTGGAGTATTCATTATAAATTCTTATTAAATACACTCTTTATTTCATTAAAAAGAAGTTCGGATACATCCAATGATACCTTTTTCCCTCATCTCCTCCTTAAGAGTATTTAATGGCTTTTAGATCTTCACAATTTTTTTCTGCTTTCGGACTTTGAACACAGCATGAAGCCTTAAAGACCAGAAAGGGTCAGGTCCCTTCGGAAAGTACATGGGCAAAAACAATTCAGAAAGCAAAATAAATCATATATCCAATAACATCTCCACATTTACGATTCCTCCTGTAATCTTTCACTATTTTCCGTGCAAGCAATCAGACTGAATAATTGTATTCACAGATGGTACAGACTCATCATTCCACTAACTGACAGTGTCACGTATATGTGCACTTAGACTACCTTGATTTTACAGAAAGGCCTTTAAACATAGCAGAAAACATTGTTTGTTAAACAGTTATTCCATATAGTTAGACTATATCCTGAAACACGTAATAACCACTGCAAGAAACTCATCTTTAACATCTACAAAGCTAAACAAAAAGCACTGGCAGCTTCTCACCAGTGTCCCCAGTTCTCTATGCTTAAAGAGTTGACTCAACATTTCACTGTCCTTTCCAATGGTCACAGTATTTTTACTAAAGCTGTGTTTGAAAAACTTAGGTTGAAAGTTATAAAACAAATTATTTCAACACATAATTGCACAAATCAGTTTTTCTATGTCCTATCCCCTCTCCGGCAAAAAGCTGGAAAAAGGGCCTGATTTACAAAGCCGTTGAGTATTTATAGTCTCTGCCTAGTAGAGAGAAAATCAGCACCTACAAAAACCAGAACAGAGTTACTTACACTTGGCACATGCAATGGTTCCTGATACTGAGACAGTTTACCAATGGATGGCAGACCAAAAGATTTGTAGGGGTCCTGAAATAAAATTCAACAGGAGAAAGCATTAAGCTTTTACAGATGTGGAGCAGATAATGTTAAAAAGCTTGAAGTCTAACAAAAACTGCTATTGGAACGACTTTGTTTTCTTCCCCAGAATTACTTGTGTTGAAGAATATTTCTTCATCCATCTGCCCCTGCAACTCCAAACAGAAATGGAAGCATATAAACTCTCTTGCATCAGTCAAAAAGCATGAAAGAAGTGCTCTGCATACAGTTACAGCACACCACTAAAACAAAAGATGAAAAGATGACATTTTCATTAGCTATATTGTGCCTTGGAAGAAGGATGGGAAAGTATTCAGAATGGTGGGACTGAGAAGAAATAAGAAAAAAATTTCAGAGATAAAAAAGGGAAATTAGAAATTCAATAATCTTAAGAAACCAAACCATTCTTTATGTCTTGTCTTCGGAAATCTCCTACATAATGCAACATCAATATAAACTTAATAGGACAGCAAAAAAATATATGGCCTACAGAATTATCAAATTCATGGCAACGTACTCAGATTCATTACTTCTATAGGTGAGGGGATCCAGGCTGAACAAAAAAAAAAAAAAAAAAAAAGACCCAATCATCAGTTACTCCAGGGTAAAGTCTACTAATACTCAGAATAGCTTCCATGCCAATCACAGGGCAAATATTTATTCTTTATCAAAATAGTTTGCACTTGTAATCAGTAGAGTAAGTTGAAGATTATGTGCATGTCACAAAGGTGGAGAGGGGAAAAGTAAAATAAGATGCTCTAGGTCAGAGAAGTCACAATAGTTAAGCAAAGGAAGAAACATCTGAAGATGTTGAATTATTTTTAAAAAGCAGAGTTACTTAAAACATTCCTGAAACAAAATTAAGAAAGCTAGACATTATTTTCCAGGTCGCATCCCTGGCAGTGTTCAAGGCCAGGCTGGATGTGACTTTGAGCAACCTGGTCTAGTAGAAAGTGTCCTTGCTCACAGCAAGAGGGGTGGAACCAGATGATCTTTAAGGTCCCTTCTAACCTAAATGACTCTGTGATTCTATGATTTTTTTACTTAAGAAATCTTGATTTTCATGTATCAAAAATGACAGTAAAAAGACATTACCTTGAAACATTCTAAACCTGACTGAAAATGGGTTTTAAATTTTTGTAAGTTTATTTAAGGTGAGATAGAGAGTCACATCATAATAATAAAGTTATTGTTTCGGAATGTACTTTGAAAGTTTGTCCTATAACCTGTAGTTTCAGAAGACAAGTAACTTGCTTTTCAACAACCTTTCAAAAAGTTTTAGTAAAACAAAATTCTGTAAGACGTGGAATTTCAACTGCCTTTTTAAGTCAACAAGTTTCAGATTTCAGTCAAAAGATTTCACAAACCTGGAAACAGTAGTTAACCGTACAAAATAACTCCAGCAATGCATCATTAAATGTGAACAGAACATATAGGTTTATTTCTAATGATATTTGCTCACCTCTTTTACCATCGTTAATTTTGATTATCAGAAAAAAAAGCTATGCTGAAATACACACCGTATTTTTACTGAAAAAATAAGAACTCTACAATTCTACAAAACCTCACTAACCATTCATTCATGTTACATGCTCTAAATCATGACTTTCATATGATATTCCTTGACTTCACCTTGGCATCTATCCACACCTGGGTATTATTACGCCACAATTCAACCACCTACCCTCCTCCCCATTACCACTCATTTACCTCAGCATAAACTCGACATTCAACCGCCCAGCCGTTGATGGGAATATCAGCCTGTTTGTGCCTGAGAGGGTAACCCTTAGCAACACGGATCATTTCTTGGACTAAGTCCAGGCCGGTAATGCATTCTGTGACGGGATGTTCAACCTGCAAGGTCAAGAACTGTCAGTCAATAGGTAAAAAAAAACCAGCAACAACAAAAAAAATGCCTCTCTGTAAACAAACACAGATAAACAAGAAATTTGACCAGCCAAAGAGCAGACAAAGATTATGTTTATGTTTTGTTCTTTTTCCCCAAAAAAATTCTGCTTAAACTCTGGCAACCACCATCTCTGCAGGGGTAGGAAAAAAAAAAAAAGAAAAAAACTTAGTAGACTACAATAACTAGGAGCAGTATAGAAAAGGAAAACTAGAAAGGTCACCTAGAAGGATTCGGGGGTTTGCAGGGTTTTGGGTTGGGGATTTTTTTTTCATTTATTTTACAAATTCAAATGCACCTGGTGATGATGAGTTAATTTTTCTTTGTCTGGAAGCTTTTCCCATTCAATTTGGTTTTGAAGAGACTCACACTGTATTTTAACTGAAAATCTCAAAGTAGCTAATAATCAGCCCATTCTGCTACACTTAACATGGCACAAACAGGAGCCACTTACAATTTTCCATAGAACTAGCCTACCCTAAATCTCACCCATTCGCCTGCTTTCACTAACCTGTCCTGACAAGCAACCAGATTAGCGTAATCTTGCATCAGCGCAGTGTAGCAGAAATGAGCAGATGGATCCTTCAATTTTTTCCCCCTCCAGACTTATCTGTTTAGTGCTTAGCATGCACAATAGCTGGGCTGGACCAGCAGAGTCACTCTGCGCTCTCAGCAAATTGCCGCTAACGGCTTTGGATGATGCTGCCATGGGAATACCCGTCGTTCACACTCACCCAGGATGTGCGTACAAGCATGCACACATGTGTGCACATATGCACATACACACACACACTTCTTCCTTCAAATGGGAACAGAAATTAATACCTTGATTAACTTTAAAAAAACATTTAACTAGGCACAGGACAGAAAAAAGCACCCGAAGATCGCAGAGCGCATCCTATAGATCAAGTAAAAGGTAGGCAAGCTAAAAGCATGTTCTTCGCACGGACACAGCTGTAAGACTTTCCATACAGAAATTATGACAGAACTGCCATTTTTATTACAAAATGCTTGTGCTCCAAGGACCAAAATACCTTAAGAAAACACACTCCACTAATCTTTCTCTGTCATGAGATGTCACACTATATAGCTTTACTGACTGAAAAGGTCACTGACCAAAAAACTTTGTTCTTTCTTCCTTCAAGTATATGAGTATTAAGGAAAACATTTAGTCATTATAATAATATTGTGGCTTATCAGAACAAGTAGATGCTTTGGTCTTTAAGGAAAAAAAGCTTTGTAAAAATAAACAGATGGCATCCATAATTAGCCCTGTGTGTACTGTGAGTTTGCTTAGAGTTTCAACAACATTTTAAGACGTTTTGACATAATTTTAATGACAAATCATCACTGAAACAAGCACCTATTCTTTGAAGGACAAAAGTGACATTGAAATGGAAATCTGATTATACAGTTTAAGGATATACCTTTGGGATTCAATCTTGATTCTACCTAACACATGATACTCTCCAGCATGTCAACCTTAATAACAGTATTTTGAGAATCTATGAAACATCTCGGTGTCTATCCTGCAGTGTTAAATTGAAGCAATTCAATTTCTATTAAGACTGGAAGTTTCTATTAAAACTCCCCAAGTTTTAATAGAAAGTTACTTATCACACATTCATATTTGGACAACTAAACTTACTTTCTTATTTTGGAACCTAAGTTTTAAAAAGTTACCTTTGAGTTAAGAAGAGGTTTGGAATTTTAACATTCCAGATAATTAAAATAGTTTTTATTTTTCCAAAGACTTCAGCATTATTTAGTTATACTGTCATTTTTCTTGGATAGCAATTGGCATTCCAGACTCAATAGCTTCATTGTTGTTTTCAGTTTTATTGTTGATGATCAAAATAAGACGGAATGTTTCTGGAAAGAAAAATATTTTTGTTGTTTGGTTCTTACGACTCACAAACATTTATTTAATCCATTCTTCAATACAGATCTTTGACTTGGTCAATATTTTCTTCTATTTCTTCAAAATACTCCCTTTGTGTCTCCACACAAAACAGCTTTCAGAAAACATGTATAGGAAAATTTTTTGAGGGTTTGTTTTTTGTTTGTTTTGTTTTGGGTTTTCTTTAGGGGTGGGGAGAAGTTGTTCTGCTTTCTTTTAGGACTGTGCTTAAACTAGCACTGTTTAGGTGTAATGTAGGCAATTCCAATCATATCACTAATTTGGGGGTACCAAATACATTTTAAATATGTTTTAGTATTCATTAAGACCACCAGATGACCAAAATGGGGTAGAAAAGAACTTTAACCTTGAAATCCTAGTTGACTTATTTGCAGCTTTAACCTTCCAGTGAGATGCACAACTCAAACTGCACTCCTTTCAGCATTTGCAGCTTACTTTCGGCAAGGGGATGGCAGGAGGGGGGTCAGCTGAGAACAGGACAAGCAATGAAATTGATCAGCAATAACTCTCAATTAATCAGCTGCCAAATGTAACCCCTTTCCTATCAGTTCCTTTACTTATACCAAATCTGGTCATAAACAATTTATACCAAGTCATCATTTCAATGCACTTAAGTACCGTATATACCTCTTTAAAGTCTTACTCTCTACTTTCTGTGACACAAACACACATGCATCATCACTTTTTCTGTAAATTGTCACTTATATTCCTGCTTTCAAGTCCACAAAGCTATAGCTGCTATGGCCAGCAATAGTTATACACAGTAAAGTGAAAGCGCTGCCCCTTCATGGACCTGCTGGATCTGCTCTTCTTCAGACATCTCACAGTAACCAGATTTCCTGTGAGCATTGCAAGTTTCTTTGCTTCAGTAACCTCTTCCCATATATACAATAAGAGACACTAGTGGCAAAGCCTATCAGAAAATAATAACTAAGTGCCAGTTTATACATGGTGAAGCAGGTACAAAAGATAAGGGAAAACCTACCAATGCCACAGTCCAATTAGCATCCATCACCAGAACAGTATGGAAAGGCTGCTAATTCTCCTCCTGTTCTGTGACTGACAGCAGTCTTAAAGCTCTACCATAGTAGGGTTCATCCACAGCTACACAAAACAGTCATGCAGTTTTTATGGACAGTTGGAGTTAAAAGTTAAACCAGCGATGACTGCTCCCCTTATATTCAGGGGAATAATTTCAGGACACATTTTTCTCAAGACTATCAAGGTACTCAGATCTAATAGCAAACACTTCTGGACACTCTCACAGACTGCTCTTGTCCCTCTGTGTATAAGGCATCAAGTTACTCACACACCAGTTGGAGCATTCAAGCACACCACATCAGCCAAGAAAATCTAAATTTCAGTAGACTTAAAACTATAGCCTATGTCACCCCTACTACTGTAAGTCCCTAGATGGTGTCATATACCCCTTTACATTCAGATAAATAATCTCAAAACTAACTTTCAACATACACCTCAGTTTCCAGGAAATGTGATTCACCTGGAGTCCCACAGGCTTTGCTGCTGCAGCCAAATCCAGTATCAATTGACCCAAACACACCAACCTACAGATGCTTCTCAACCCCCTGTATTTCAGTAAGCCTGGTTTCTATTTCGGAGAACTGAACAGCAGAAGTGCACACATGTTCTGCTCTTCAGGCATGTGGGCTTCCTCACTACTATGAGCAGGAACACTGGGGTCACACCTTTCTGCAAAACAGTTCACATGTATATGGGGTTCAGGAGCACACAGTAAAAAACAGCTTTTCATAAAGGCTGCTGAAGAACAGACAATGGTTGGATTAATGTACAGAATGAATGAAAAGCACATAGGAATATTTAACAGGCAAACTCCTATGTTGTCCTTGTCTATAGACAGAGCATATAACATGTGCTGTTTGTTTTCTGATTTATTATTATGTGATCAAACAAGGCAACCAGAACTACAAAAATTTCCACCAGCTAAGATGCTTGGGTTTCCCAAGTAAGAAGTAGAAAAAAGAACTAATACACAAACATTTGGTACCAACTAATTTTTTAATCACAACATTAATTCCGAAAAAATGTTTAATCTACTTCCTCATAGGAAGTTATCAAAGTTATCTTCCAATAATCATTGACACTGTTTTTTCAATTTTTCTTTGCTAGGATCTGTTTCTACATTGTATGGGACAGATGCAGTTTTCGTAGCCTATGAATTCTGAATCTGCCCTTTCTGTGTTTTAAACAAATAGCACACACTTGAGGTCAACAAATAAATTAGCTCACAATTTCAATACAACTTTCTCAATTAACATCTTGCACTTCAAAAAAATTTCTTGCAATTCAGTAATTCTACACAATTTTCTTTCCGCTACATACTCCATGTAAAAAAAAATAAAGAAACTTTCATCCATAAAACTTATAGTTTCTTTCCCAAAAAATGCAATTCTTGCTTTTACTGTATTTAGGAGCAGTACTAAATCCTGGAAGAACTGCAGCTCTTCTTGGTTTTGCTTTACATCAAATTCACCAAAGCAAAGAAACTAATTTACTCTTTGAAGAATTACCTTTTGCTTCTTTACTTATTAAAAAGGGAAGAGAGTCTCCTCTTTCTCTACTTTTTTGGATAGTATTTTATGATGGTTAAGTGGAAATGTTGTCTCTAAGATATCACTCCATGCCCTGGCAGCACTGTTAATGGCATCTTTCAGATTCAATGACTTACACAAACAATGTTGTTCTCTTCTGTCAACAACAATTAGCAATGCTTTTCTGTAGTTCTTTTGGGAAGCCAGAAAAGCAGACAACCAGTAGCTACATAATGGAAGTTGCATTAGGAGGCAAGAACGTGGCAAAAATCTGGTTAACTGTTGTCGGCTGACCCTCTTGTGTGAAACAGTGTTGTTTGGCAGCAAAATCACCTTTTCTTTCGGTTCTAAAAATGGCCATGAACAGCTGGTATAAACTGTGTGCAGAATAGATTCTGGTGGGCTTAGGAGATTGGTAATGGGATAAGAGACCTTTCACCTTTAGGTCAGTAGTTCAAATTCAGCCCAGGTTAGCAGCAATTGAAAGTCTTTACCATCTGACATTGTTCGTTAGCCTATTTAAAATGACTGAAGCTAAGTGTCACAGTAAAACAAGATAACAGTATTTAGAAATATGAAGAGTCTCAGCAAACAGTACAAACAGTTGCTAGAGACTTTACTTCAAAATCCCACCATTCAGACTCCGTAGAAATCTACTCCTCTAACTCCTGACAGTCCCTTTCACTGCTCCCGTACTCCTGCTCACCTATCACAATTCATCCTGCAGGCAGCGACACACACCAAGACAGCTCCCCGTCCCCATGGGTCTGCTATGGATACCGAAGTCACCACCTCTCCGTGGTTTTAGCTGGCAGTCCAGACTCAGCTCATTCCTTTGCTATTTGTATTTTGCTGCTACCGTTTACATAGTGTAGCTGCAATATTTTCCAGCACTTCTCTCCACTGACCAAACGTTTAGCAGGTGACTCTTGACATGCAACAGATTACAGATACCACTAAGAAGATGTAGAACCAGGAGTTTATAAGCAGTGGAGCTCCAAACAATCAGCAACAGGATTTCTATGTATTTTTACACCTTTGCCAACCATGCTTTTTATACCCTCATGAGTGGACAAACAGGAAGTAGAAAGAGACATGTTGCACATAAAAATCCTTCCCGTCTTTTAGACTAGACACAGCCAGTTTTGTGCAAAGACAAAGCTCTAGAATATATAATTTTCCAGTGGTCAGTAAAATCTGCTGAAACCCCTGAAAGTGGTAAACAAAAATTTTAACACTGGGTAATGTTTTATGGGTGTATGGAAGATTATTTACCTCCACTTTATGCTTAGAATCAAGCTTACTTTAAAAGAACTTAAAAACATTTACATAAAATATATACTCTCACAATAACTAACTAAATTAAAAACATAGATATGCCATTTGCTTTCAATAAGTCTCTTACAAACATGTCAGACTATTCTACAAAATTAATTTTTATTCCCTAAAAAGTTATTACAAAAATATTCAAACTGTCACATGAAGAGAAAACACACTGCTACTCAAATTACCATATTTCTCAACTCCAGTCTATGCAAATGATCTTTTCAATTACATTAAGGAAATTCAGACACGTTTTGAGGAGGAAGGGAGTACTCACTTGTTATTTAAACTGCACAACTCATGAGGGAGGCAGAAAGTTGGGAACAGACCTGAGACACAAGCATCCTAACTGTAAGTACTCTCGTCACATCACCCACTGTACGTTTTTTCAATTATTCTTCAAGGGATGTTTCTCTTCTCAAGGTACTACAAACATCCAGAATATGGGATATTTTCCCTTTGCTGTCACAAACTGATTCACATGCAGGAAGCTTAGCCACACCATACACACATGTATTAACAGATATCCTTTAAGTACAGACCATACACTCTCTTCCTATAAATTCCAAGAGTAACATCTCTAACCTTCCAGTAAAGAGCAGAAGAAATTTTTCTAGTGAAAGTCAGCACTTCTGATAGTAACTTGATGAAAAGAATTTGACACAACTTGGAAGCTAGAAAGGCTATCAATCTAAGGGGTCAGAAAATGTTTATTTATCACAAAGCTCATTTAGTTGTTTTGGACTATGACTGCCCTTGATTAGGCTGATGACAAATGGGCAACAAAACACACCACAGTGTGAGCAGTTATAAAAAAAATCATATATTCAATATCTGGTCTGCCTCAATTTTAACAGTGAACAGTGGTTTTCTGCCTGAAAACCACTCTAAAAGTGTCCTAAATGACAGCATACAGAAGTTCTCTGGGAGCTGCTAGGGCAGACATCCCTGTGCTCTCTGACAAAAAGCAAGAATAACTAGTTTTGCTATGCAATTATCCAATCTCATGTCTCGTACTTATCAGCTAGCATCTCAAAGATGACAGAAAAGCAGAACCAATAAGAAGAACATTGCCAACAGCGAAGAATAAGTCTTTCTAGCTGAATCACTTAGAGGGAGTAAAACATCTGTAACAAATTTGTGTAGCATACAAGAGACACAATGGAGCTGATTCACCAATTTTTTCGTTTTCCAATCTCGTATAGTACTGCAACAACACTTAAAACAAAAATTAAATAAAATATAAACTTCATGCAAAGTGCTATTTTTGCCTTTTTTTGCACTACCATATAACAGAAAAGGTATATTCCCAAAGAGTTCCCAAAAAGACAGCCAAGTAACAGTACAACTCTTGGTTACTGCAAAATAATTTACCAAAACACTGAAAGGCATCTGACAGATACACCAAAGGGAGGGAGGGGAGAAATCAGCAGGCAATGCAAAGTACTGGCCACAGATTAGTTAACAAGTACATTTTGAAGTATGTATCTCAAATAAAAATTCTGCTGAAACATTAAAACAGACACAGAAAATCGCATCATTTAGTTAGACATATTCTGATGCTGCTGACAGGTAGCTATGTCTAATGCACACTGACAAAGACCTTAGGAGCAGCATTTATGGATCAGACACCCATCTTTTTAGAAAGTTCTTCCAGCTGTGGAGTGCTCAGCAAGAACAAGGCAAGTCAGTCTGTTAGACACTGATCACAGGAGATGTAAAAGGAAAATAAAGACTAAAGCAATACAGGGACATCCAGACACTATCCTGGTTCTGAAGTTAAATCTGGACAAGCTTCATGAGAGTTTCTATGTTTGGCTCTTAATAGAAGGGAGCAAGTATGATGTTAGTAGTGTAACTTAGCTGAACAGAAAGTAAAGCCTGAGACCTGGGAGAAGAGACAGATCAATCAGGTAAGACTGGGGGGGAGGGGGAAGAATCAGAAAATTACTACTCTCCAGACTCAAGCTGAAATGCTAATTATAGACAATGCACAGCCAGGATAGAGGAATTACAGAATATCTAAACAAGTAGTCTAATTTAAGATTAGTAAATTTCTTTAAGAGTTTGAAAGAATAAGTTTGCTATTATAGGGGACTGCCAAACTGCTTAGGCTACATTTCAAAAGGAGTCTTTAAAGATGAAACTGTGAAAGTTTTCTTACTACATATGTGGAGACATCTACAATTAAGCAAGTTAGAGCCATTGCAGGGGGAAGACACCACAAAACCAGCAAAGATAACATCTTAAAAACAAATTGCAAAAAGGAGACCAAGGATATCCCATCACTAGTTCCACTTAGAAACTAATGGACAATAATACATTACAGCAAGGAAATGGTTTTGAAGTTCTAGTGAGTTATGCAGAAAACCATAAATTAATTTTCTTCTGTGTAAACAAGACCATGGAGTTACTAAAAACATTGGTTCGAAAATGACAAGACTAGGAAAAGTGTAAAGAAATATGACCAAAGAGATAGAATTCGTCTTAATATTTTAATGAACTATACACTGCCATTAAACATCACCCTCTCTAGTAGATCTGATAATGCCTAGCCATAGTCATGTGAAATGACTGTCATAGCTAATTCCAAAAACACTGCTGTCCTGCAAGGTAGTAAAAATTTTACCAGCAACCTTCCCCTGGTACAGAAGATTGCAACCCCCAAATTCTCTCCAACTTCTTAAATCAGAGCATAAATTTACCCAATTATTATACAAAGTCATGCAAAGATATCAGAATTATGAGGATCTCTTTACACTCAATCACTGCCCACATGAACAAGCAACAGGCAGGACATGGCCCTAATGTAGCTAAAACAGAATGAGATGTTAATCAAACTGTTGCTTGGTTCCATATTTCAGTCTTTTTGGGTGTTATTTAAAGTGAGAAAAGGAGGATAAAGACAATAGAATGTGCCAGTTTTCTTCCCTATGACCACAAATGCATCACAAGAGTCAAATAAGAGGTAGAAGGGGTTTTCCATAAAACACTGCTTGTCCCCTCACTTGCAGTGTACATTACAACAGCTACTACTGACTACATGAGTTGTTACAAAAATCCTACACCATGTCAGCATGCTTCTTACACAATTGTATTCCAGTCACAATTTCAATCACATGCAGATTGCTAGTGTTTTTATTGCTGATATACACATACAGTTTTAATCACCCTCCTAGAGAAACTCAGCAAGTGATCATCAAAGTATAAAAATAAGAAAGAAACTTCAGGGACCAGTGGAGAGAAGTCTCAGAGCACAGTGGCTAACCACTTACTGTGAATTCACAGTAGCACTTAACAATGACCTCTCACAAGGTCTTTAGGTCAAGTGTAACAAAGAGCAAGAGCTCTGAACACTTACTTGAGTGCTGTGCAAGGGCTCACTGCTGCAAAGTCTTGTATAGGTAACCTTATTTGAGTGTGCACATCTTTTAAGTTCAGTGGGAAGTGCATCAAGATACTTATGTTTAAGTCTTTGCAGGAGCAGACCCCTAAGTATGGGAGGTGGTTATGGTCTGTTTATTTAAATAACACTTTTCTGAATCTGAAGAGTTGTTTTTCTTACCTGAAGTCTAGTATTCATTTCCAAGAAGTAGAAATTCTTACTGGAGTCCACAAGGAATTCTACTGTTCCAGCAGAGGAATACTTTACTGCTTTGGCAAGAGCTACTGCTTGTTCTCCCATTGCTCTTCGAGTTTCAGGGTCTAGAAAAGTGCTACAATACAGAAATAATGCCTTTCTTTAGTTAAAAAAAAAATAATTATTCTTCAATCATTTCATCTTCTGCTTAAACTATGGTCAAAAAAGGACAGCATCATTGTTTGAGTTATGAAAATATGTTAAGACTGTCAAATGTATGTCTTTACATTTGTATTACCCCTAAGTAGATATACTGCATGCTTTAAAATTACTTCTAATGTACAGGAAATTCAAGATAAATAACCACATTCGCTACAATGTAAAATAACAGAAGGCAACTCTTAGAACAGTGAGATCTATAATAATGTAAATTAAATGAAAAAAAAATACATACAAATCCATGCTATTTTAGAAGGCATATCTATTTGCAAAAAACCTGTAACTAAAAAATCCATCCAGTGGAAATATAAATGCCAAAAAAACCAAAAGACAAGAGGCCTAAGTGGAATTTTTCTGAGTCTGAATTAAAACAATGTGTCCATTTAATTGATATTCTATGCAATAAAGAAGTTTTGGAAATTAATGAAGTATTTATTCAGGCTTCTTATTGGTTGCAATAAAGAATATATGAGCATTCATAATATTCAACTTGAACACCATCAACACTATCATGACTTGAACCTTCATATCCTCTATTTACTCTTTCAACTTTTCTTGTAAGCTGAAGCTTAGTTATCCGTGTTGATTGCAATTCTTTCTTTTCCACAAATCCAGGACACACTCAAGGGCACCCAAAGAGCAGCTTATCTATTACCTGGGGAGGACTGTGAACACTGTCCAAATGTCAAGCTTTCTCATTCTAGGAGAGCACCATGCCACTTCCACTGGTCCAGTGAATTCAGACTCTGGAAAGTACACAGTCTCCTTCTTACTCTCCTCTGTACTCTCCTCTAGTTATTAGAGCTAGATATATTTCTGTGGCATTCCATCAAAGCTGTGAAACTGGTTGCCCCTCAACCTGATACGTTGATCTTCGATGAAGGACAATGTGTAGCTGCTAATCTTATAAGAGATTACAAATACACTCATCATTTTTCTGTTTCGACTTACATTAGGCACATAAGTCGGCTATAATTTTAAAAGGACTTTTGCAAGGGAATAGAAAGTTACTTCTACCTTACTTCTAAGTTACTGTTTAAAACTAAAATGCCAAATATTACAACAGTGAGCCCTAATTCTGTAAAAAAGCAATTAGGAGCCTCCATCTATCTGAAGTGGCCCCAAAGCCAGTGAAGCTCTATCTGGGGCCCAGGACTGCATTCAGACAGAAGCCAAGTGCTGGGTCAGAACTTATCTTTCAATACTTACTGTGGTGTTTTTCACTGAGACCTGAACTCACAGACAAGCTAGAGATGTCTGCCACAACAAACCATATTTGATAGGACACAAGAAGTGAGCAAACTAGGAGACAGTGGAATCCTTTTCTTTATTGGAAAAGTGCTATTTCACTCCATCCCTCCAGTGCTCACACAACCAGATTCCGATGGATTGTAAGGCAGGTGTTTCTAGAACTTAGGAAAAAATTTCTTTCTTGGCAAACAATGGGACCAACAGGAAAAGGAAGTCAAGACTCATTCCAAGAAAGCTACCAGATCCCACATCAGATGAAAAGGAAGATCAGAAGATGTCAAAACCATGTAGTACCTATCAAGAATAGACACTAGTAAGAGTTTCACAATATTTCTTATTTTGATTCAGTAAGAGTATAATACAACCCAAAATCAACGATTTATAATTCAGTGAGGGGTTTCTGCAGGGCTTTGATCATGAAAGGTCAATGAGTGGCTTATGAAGAACAGAACCTTCTCAATATCAGCTTCATACTCTCTAGAATAACCATTATTACTTCTCATATAGATTAAAGACAGTTACTCCCCTTTATTACAGTGGTGTCTTCCCTATACTTGTTAAATGCAGGTCTGAGATCTCACTGTTCAGCTCCTGCTGTAACCAAAGAATGGAACATAGCTGTGACATTGCTAAACTTGATCTCTGCCACACAGTAAGGCTTTATGCTCTTAAAAATGACTGGATCATCCCTGCCATCAGCTTGGTTAATTAACCAAAGTCTTCATATTCCCCTCTGCTGCTTTACCTTTCCTATACATTGTTTCTCCCTTTTATAACAATGTCCCTTTTACAACCAAAATAACTTGTCAAATCTAATTAGGCACCACTTGAAAACAGCATTTTAAACCTGACTTCAAATCTTTTGCTCACACATACACCTCTTTTTCCTTTGACAGCTCCTATGGCAGCACTGAAAGATTCACAAAATAAAGATTCACAAGATAAAAGTATCAAAAAAAAAAGTAAGATAAGACCTTACACTTTACTCATAAGAACTTCATTAAGCTACTGTAAAGTTGATCAAGGGCAATACAATTTGTTATGACATTGTTTCTGCAGCCAGAGAGATGAACCTCATGGGCATAAATACGCTAAAAAAGCATTTGAGAACACAGCTTTGCCCCCACATCTAAACAATGCACACCTATGAATCATGTACACAGTCACAAACAGAACAGACTCGTGTTTCTCTTAATCTGAAATCCTTAAAGGATTTCTAGACAAAGTGATAGGAAATGTAGAGTCTGATACACATACATGCTGTACAACTCTAAGGGGAACTTGTAGATAGAGTCCAATTCAACAATGCACCCTTCTGCTAAGCTCCTGCCTACATACGTTCATTCAAATTGTCAGTGGCTTCAAGTAGCACTTCGGCTATTAATTTGGAATATGATCCTGACATACTTGACATCATATTGAGATCTTTCAGAGTTTAGTGCTTAGAGAAAGGGAAAGTCATTGCTTATGCATCTTCCAAGGACAAAAAAATTCCTGAGAGAAACTTAACAACAGTGCATGCAAAGAAGGTCACAAAAATTTTAGACGTTTCTGTCACAGGCAGAAATAGAAACAAACATTTTAGTTCTCTGAACATCTTTTAATTAAAAAAGATACCACAAAATTATCATCTAGGATAGATAAGGCAACCTTAACTCTGAATGTATGCAGCTAGGATTAAAAAAAAAAAAAAAAAAAAGGTATAATATATTAATTATTTTGTGCCTGAGACTAAACTTTGAAATTTTGCGAAATTGTTAAGACACTATTCTAAAACCTTATTCTGAAAATCTTTGGTGCTAAGGTTTAACCTCAAGGACGTGGAATCAATGCAGAAAAGTAGAGACAAAGAAGAAAAGTAAGCAGATAGCTAGCAATTTCTAAGGACTTGCTCACTGTGGATGCTAATAGGGATCTCGCACGCTAGTACAGAATGCAGTGGCAGGGCACTGTTCCATCATTCCCTGTCCAAGGTAGGCCTGAAAATGTAGAGAGAAGGTTTAACACAGCATCCTGAAGCTCAGCATTTTGACATATGATGGTTATAGATCATACTTCAAATGTGTTCAGTTTTGGCCCTCTCAATTGAAGGACACCAAGGTGTTGGAGCATGTCTAGAGAAGGACAATGAAATCAGTGAAGGGTCTGGAGCACAACCTCATGAGGAGCAGCTGAAGGACCTGGGGTTGTTTAGTCTGGACAAAAGGAGGCTCAGGGGAGACCTTATCACTGTCTACAACTATCTGAAAGGAGATTGTAGCAAGATAGGGGTCGGACTCTTCTCCCAGGCAGCAACTGACAGGACAAGAGGATATGGCCTCAGGTTGTACCAGGTGAGGTTTAAGTTGGCCACTGGCAAAATTTTCTTCACAGAACTGAATGTCAAGCCTTGGAACAGGCTGCCCAGGAAAGTGGTGAAGTCACCATCCCCGAAGGTACTTAAAAGACATGTAGATGTTGTGCTTAAGCTCTTGGTTTAGTGATGGACTTGGCAGTGTTACATTTATGGTTGAACTCAACAACCCTATGATTCTAAGTGGTATTCCATAAAGGATCAACCATTTAATGTCTTATACTGCTACAGCAAAGGACAGGAGTGGATGATCACGGTGAGTTGAAGAGCCTTTGTGGGGCCTTTCTCCATAATAACATTCCAAAAATCTTAATTTTGGGCATCAAATAGTGCAGATAGCCAAGTGCCTCTGAACAGATGAACGTTCCTGCACCCACGTGGTGAGGCAAATTTCAAGGGCTTTAAGAGGATTCTAACAGGTTCAGAAATAGTTAGACGTGCTCTCAACAAAGTGAAGTTTTAGAGCGCTCCTTTGAGTTACTCCTCCAGTTACTGAATAGGACATCAGTCAATACTCTTGTGCATTTACTTGTGATTGATCCTAAGGAATCAGTGGATTTTCTGATAAGCTTATAGGCCTTGTTTCTCCCCACAGGAAACAATCTCTTATTAATCACTCTAGCAAACGGAAAAATTCAGCCACATCCTTGCATTTTTTTCTTGCCAAAGTACAGTCTTACAGCAACTGTCTCTAAAAATGAACAGAGAAGAGCTTGGGCAGCAGAGGAACAAAAACTGAACCAAGGAACAAAAGACTAATTAATGTTACTCATCTCTTAAAATGTCAGCCTCTGTGGTGAAATGAGAAGACAACAGCATATCCAAAAGTATGTAAAACCAGAAGCAAAAAATTTACAGTACATCAACTGGAAGCTTTGTGCATCACTAACTTTGCCCAGCACAAAATAAACTAGTGATGATTGGATGTATCTTATTAAATGTGCTTCCCAGAACAGAGTAGGACAAAAGACCAATGTTAAAAGGGTATAAGAAAAGTTTGTTGATCTCCTAGATGAATCTGTGGGATTGACCACCATGGACCCCTGAATGGATCCCTTGAATACTGTAACCCCATCTGTGTGTGAACCAAAGGTGTTTCCCTCCTCGTAAGAAAGAGGGTTTTTTGTTTGTTTTTAACAAAAGACTGAACTTCCCTAAGAAAACTGAAGATTCAAAGACAAAATGATCCCACATAAGGACAAGTTCAACAGAGCTAGCTTTTAAAAAAATTATATATTACTCTCAAAGCCAAAAAGCCCTCAGACTCTAAAATTAGACACTTAGGAAAATGCCATCATAGGAATAGAGTAAATCAAAAAAGTCCTGAGGTCATACAAAGGAAAAAACATTTTAGCCCATAGCATTCCTACCTCCTGGGTTTCATGAAAGAAAAAAAACAACCTCCTTCGACCTATCTCAGAGGTCTTAATGGCAGTTACTATTTAGAATAGGAAAAAAAGAAGGACAGTATATTTCCTCCATCCAGCTATATAAGAAGAGGTGTGTCCAGAAGCCATTAATCAATCAGACTAACTGAAACAGTACAGCATTCACAGGAAGGGTTATCTTGAGCCTTTAGTGTTTCTATGGTGTCTCACAGAAGTCAGTGCCCTGCAAGTCTTGTAACCCTTTGGAAATAAATGGATTCTGCAGCCAACTGCAAGGGGCTATAAGGCAAGTAAGACTTCCAAAGCTGTCAACCAAAGTCTGGCAGAGCCCAAAGTATTCAACAACAAGAAGGAAGAGTTTTCACACCAAATTTTGGAAGCTATTGACTTGCCCAAACTCTTTCGTAGAGCTATGAGGGGATGAGAAAACTTACTGGCAACTCCAACAGAGAAGCCCAAGAAAGTTAAAAGGTTGATATTTCTGATGAAAGAAACACTCTGATCACAGCTGGTCAATGAGAGAAAGACATATCATCCCTCTTTAATTGACCACAGGTATGGAGAATGAGCAGGCAGCAGTGACAGGCATCGCCTTACATATACTTGTGAAGCAAAAGACACTCCTCTTTTAAGTGCTTAGGTATATGTATGTGCACATGCACATCATAGTGGGACCTGAAGTATTCACTTTTCACAAAAACATGGTAAGATCTTGACACAGAAGCAGCATAAGCCTTCCAAGAAATCCACAAGCATGACCAAGAAGCATTTATTAGTGGGTTTCTATCTTTAAAATTCGGTTTTTAATTTGAAACCTAGGTCCAGCAGTGTAAGTCCTGTAGTTATGACCCAATATTAACTAATAAACTGCCTCTAAATAAACACCACTTGGATGATGTGCTTTTCCTCACATCCCAAACTGTTGCATCACAGTGCTGTGCTATAAAAAAATACATCAAACCCACCTGGCTGGGGAAAATATTACACTGGGAATTCCCACAGGCAGCGATATACCCATGTCTGGCTTTCTGAAATCAGAAGTTCCTGCTGCCCATTTTATACACTTACTCTCCAGTGAATGCCATGCAACAGAAAACTAAGCAAGACCATACCTTGCACAGCAGCAACGTATTTCAGCTTCACATGAAACCAGCAAGATTAAGATCATTTAGCACTTTTGAGTTACTGGACACATACATCTCTAGTTCACTACCACAAATGGTACTCAATCATTTCATTTTAAATAGAAACATACAGAATTATGTGGGTCTCCCACAATTACTCTAACACAGTCAAATATCTGTATCTGTAGTAAAATTCATACTTATTCCATATTTTATTTTACTTTTATATCCAAAAGTGAACAAAGAAAAATCTCAGATTAACTAAGCCATTTCATATCACGTATATTTGATAAGACCTATATCCATTTTATACAAGATCATGAAAAAAATGAACTACACAACACCTGCTTTCTTGAAAGACATTGTATAAAATTGTCAAAACACCCTCAAGAACAACATCAAAACAGCATTAGAAGTCAAAATGACTATGACAAACATTTATTTTCTTTGTGGGTTTTTAAAAGAATAAAATTTGCTTGCATTTGTACAGTAAATAGAATCACCAGCTTTCCAAAAGTACTTTCAATTACGATGAAGTTGCATCAATAATCTAGCATTCATACCTTGGTGCTTCCTCCACAACTTTCTGGTTTCTCCTTTGAATGGAGCATTCTCTTTCATTCAACCACAAGGCATTACCATGCTTATCTGCCAAAATCTGAAACAATAACACACTGCTATTAATAAAGATGTGCACGTGTACGGCCCTTTGACTTCATATTATTATGCAGAATTTATTTGTTCAGTTTCTTCCAATCTAAAATAGAGATTGGGAAAAAAAGGTTGTGTAGAAAATTAATTGTATATGAACTACTAATAGAACACTCCTTCAAATTCTGAATAGGACTATTCTAAAGCCTCTGTATAGAGTTTGTACGTGGCAAAAACCCACTCGCTTCAAAATACGATATCTGAATTTTTGGGCTTATTACAAAAGACTGAAATAAGATTATAACAACATTTAGAAGCATTTTAAGTTTGTACTGCATTATGAAATTACACAAAACCATATCGTTAGGCAAAATCTTGTGTCAACAAAGAAGAGAAAAATCTCCAAGCATGCCAAATTTTGCTCCTGAATTACACAGAAGAGTTTTCAGAAAGAACAGTTAATGCAGCTTTCTTAGTAGGTGAACCACAGTGCCCTGTCTTTAATGAAGAAGAAAAAAATCTTCGGAAACTTTGCTATCTTTTATTAAGGAGGAGAAAATTTGCAACTTCCTTAGTACTTTCAATGGAAACTAAAGCAGTAGTTTTGAGGAATTTTTTTATAAATCGGGTATCAACTACAGTTGAAGCTGCAGGTTCAGTTCATGGAAGAGAGAATGCAGAATCAAGTATCTAGATCCAACAACCTAAATTACACACTAGAAAAAAACCCACAAGTTCAGCAGAGCAGAACTCCCAACAGATTCCGCAATTTCAAACTAGAGGGAGAAGTAAGAAAAGGAACTCTGTACCTCTATGAAATTGACGGTATGGTGCAGCCATTTCCAGTATCCAGATACTGGACTTGAGGATTCAAGTAGACTTCTTATGATGTTATACTCTACACTTACTCTTAGAACAATTTCTTTCATCACAGACCACACCTGCTCCCTTTCTTCCTTATAAAATTTTCCCTCTAACCCATTTTTTTCTCATCTATCTTGCTGCTCCAATCTGCAGGAACCCATGCCAATATTCATGCTTCATTCTTTACTAGTGCAGTTCTACACTGAAAACCAACAAGATAAAACAAGGAGACAATCTTCCTCAAACTGTGTGAACTCAACCATATCTACTCACATTTGTGACAATGAATCTGTATTATTTATTATTCCTTTTAGCACCAGAGTGAATATGGCACTAGGCAAGATGAATTCTTGCATCTATGACACCAACGGTTGCTGAGGTATGAATAATTTGGGTAGATGTGACTGAAAATGAGGCAGTGAACTCATGAAGACAACTCAGGTGTGGTGTGCAGCATCAGATCCAGGGTGCTTTGCGCATCGTAGGATCAGACGTATTTTTTTTCCTCAGAAATTCTGTTGTGCTCCCATATATTTATGGAGCTGTCTAGTGAAAAAAAAAAAAAGCCCCTTCAAAGATGTCTAGATGATTGATAACTTCAGAGTTTCCTAAGTTACAGCATGTCCCAGACCCCTCTTCTTCCCTGTGCAGGGGGAGGGTTTAGCAGCAGCAGCACCAGGGTGGCTCCAACCAACTGCTTGATTCCCTAACAGGGGACTCAGCACAAAGACTAAAAAAAAAAAAAAAAAAAAAATGGAAAAAAGAAATACCCAGGGTACTTCCTACCTAAGTCTTCATACATCCAATCCAGATGAGTGGAGCTCTACAGAAACTCATTTGGGAGGTCCTAAGATTTTTTTACTGGTTTTTGGTGATTTTTTTTTAATATTAAAATATTACACCTACAGAACACAGATGGGACTCAATGGAAAAAATCACTGTCCTGTAAGTAAAATGATTCCCTGTGAGCACTTCTGTTTCACTGTTAGAAAGCCTACATCTTTCCACAGAATTCAGCTTCACCAAAACAACCAAAGGAGTCCCTGAATATTTCAGTAAAAACGAGTTCCTGTGCTTCTCTCCTCTCTCTGTATTTTTCTGAAGAAGATAAAAGTTCTCAATCCAAGTAGTAAATATTTTCTTTCACTTCAGGACATTTCTCACATCCTACTACATTTCAGCAACCCGGATCTTAAATAAATGTTTTTCAATTATTAGTTAATATGGCTCAAAGAGACATGCATGAACATTTACAATGAGAAGATAATCATAAATAGAATAAGCCAACAACATGTAGAATTAACCCTTTACTTTTATTCTGGGACCACTGTTTTTCTTATCATAAACTAATCATACAACAATTGTCTTTCAGAAGATACTTGCAAAATACTGAAATCATCATCTCTGAGGTGACATGAGATTCCAGTACACATCTCATTAAAAATGCATGTCACAGCTACAGGGTTTTTTTACATACCTAAGTATTTCTAAAAGAAAATTTCCTGTTTTGTGGGCTTAGATGATTATGACATTAGTATATGCTACATACATCTATATGCCAAAATAATTCAATATTATGTAGCAGAACCTCTCCTACATGATTCAGCTAAATTCTCTTTCCAGTTGTAGGATTGCTATTTAGCCAAGTAATAGACAGTCCACGTACTCTTACTTTAAACTCAGGTCCTTTTTATCAGATACTTCAGGAGAACAAACTTCAAATCAGTTCAAGCATAAAGTCTATTTGGACTCTATTTTCCTGTTAATTGTTTTCGGTTTTTCTCATGTTTTACAAAGTGATTGTTTTATAGCTAGACACAGGAAACTCCTTATTTAACAATTTTAAGTACCAATGCTTTGGAGAAATATGAGAATGCTAAAAAAACGTTCTATTTAAAAGTTACTGCTAAAGTAATAAATATTTGGCATCTGGTCTCAAATTGTTTGTATATTCAGTAGTTTGAAAATGAACCAAGGTCAACGTCCTAAAGCTGATTAGAACATGAAGTTAAAATGATATGCTATGATATTGTTAAAAGGTACCATCAAAGTGTTTGTGTAAGGACAACAACATTCACTGTACACTTATTATAAAACACAACTATAAATTATTAATAGCAAAGACATTTTGTTCACTCTAAGTGAAATTATTTAACAGTTCTTAAAGGCACTACTACCATATTTTTTGAGCTAACTTTTTAAACCCAAAGGAATCAAGACAATGTAAAATCTGCCCCCAACTCATGGAAGTATAGAGGAATCAATCCCGTCTAACTTAATTCATTGAAGAAGCAGTAGGAATCTGCTGAAGCTCCCAAATCTGCAAGCCCTGAAGGAAACAGATCTTTAAAGTGTAGTAATTTGCATACACAAAAAAAAGAGAAAAAATAAGACATAGGTATATAAATACTACTAGCCATAGCAAGAGAATACAGAAAGATGCTCTAGCAATTTGACCTCTTTTGTAACTAAGATAAATGCTGAAATTTAGAGTTCACTGTATACCTTTCCATGACCTTTCAAAAGAGAATAAGGTGGGGTTTAAATTTCATTTTCACTGTTTCTTCATTTTGCTGTTTACAGATTATTTCTTTATTTCAATGTTTCTTCTTCACTTCTCCCCCTCTACTCCTCTCTGGTAAGATCCCACCCAGAGTACTATATCCAGCTCTGGAGTCCTCAGTTCAGGAAAGACACTGATCTCTGGGAACAAGTCCAGAGGAGGGACACAGAAATTATAATAGGGTCTGAACACCTCTCCTCTGAGGAAAGGCTGAGAGAATTGGGGTTGTTCAACCTGGAGAAGAGAAGGCTCTGGAAAGACCCAGTTGCAGCTTTTCAGTACTTACTGGGTGCTGATAAGATAAGAGACAAACTTTTATCCAAGCCCATAGTGACAGGACAAGGGGAAATGGCTTTAAACTACAATAGATTTAGACCACACATAAGGAAGAGATTTTTTTTTTTTACTATGAGAGTGGTGAAACACTGGAACAGGTCACCCAGAGAGATGGTGGATACTCCATCCTTGGACACATTGAAGGTCAGGTTGGACAGGGCTCTGAGTAACCTGATCTACTTGAAGATGTCCCTTCCCATGGCATGGGGTTTAGACTAGATGACCTTTAAAAGATCCCTTTCTACTCAAAGTATTCTACAATTCTATGAAATGCAGTAAGTTAGCCTGTGTACACAAAATAAATAAAAACATAGGAAGTATCAGTCTGAGGGCACATATCTGGTAGACTAAAAAATGTTAAATATTTCTCTCTTACAAATCATTCCACACTATCAAATTTACTACTGTTTCACTCAGTTATTGAGCTACTTCAGGTTCTCACTGTTAAAAAAAACCCATGTCTCAACAACATAGAAAGGGTTTATATTTTGGATAAAAAGAAATGAAATTTCTATGTAACAAGTGAAGTTTCTATTGAGGAAACAAAAATGCCTCATATAGATTTCTTATTATCTCAAGGCTAATGACAAACACAAAAATTTAGTTGCCTACATAAGATCAAACACATCACAAATTTTGAAATCAATTTTGTTATCAAGTGTCTGAAAGAAACAACTTTTGTTCTGCATTAGCATATCTGACTTAACGCTAAATTCAATAAAATACATAAATGGTCACAATCCAGAAGTTAAAGAGAATACAACTGATTTTGAAGCACAAACTGACCAAAAAAGGGACACAAATCCTCCTGAGTTCCCAGGGAGCATTAGATACTTCGGAACAGAATCCAAAATACTGATAAAACCACCTAGACCTTGCAAGAAAAATGTTAAGAATGGCAGTGTTTGAACTCTTACATCCTCTGCTGCACTCCAGCCCTCTAATAGGATCCAGAGTTCAAGTTCCATCCCTCAGGACAGATGCCTATAACTTTTTTTTCTCCCCCAACAAACTGAACACAGTTCACAGTCTTCCTGCTACAGAAAGGCTAGAGAATAAAAACAGGAAGGCTGTATTGTGCATGATAGCCATGTAGTTTGAGCAATGACCCAAGACACCGGAAAACACAAGACTCTAGGCCTTTTTTAGTAGAGTGTTTGAAATGTTTTGAACTTTGATTCATTTATGAGTTCAAACCTTATTAAATAAATATACAATAATTAATAGTAGTAATAACAATAGTACAAACCTGGATTTCTATGTGACGAGGGTTATCAATGAACTTTTCTATCAGCAAGCGATCATCACCAAAACTTGAAGCAGCTTCTTGAGATGAAAACCTAAAACCTTCCCTTAAATAACAAAAACAAAAAGAATAATCTGTATTTAAAAAGTATCAGCTCCTGAAGTATACAAGAATGAACACTTATTCATTTTAGTCATCCGGCTGCCTTTATCAGTGAATACACACATCCAAAAACCAAGTTTTACCATTTGCATTTGATTCTGTAATGAGTATCCTTTTTTACTTGTTTTTCTTACAAAGACAAAAAAAACCCAAAACAACAAACCCAAAACAAAACATTCTGAAAGTGAAGAAAATTTCAATTTGCTTAAAAAGTCTGAGCATTTACAACAATTATTCATATTCATTTTCTATTACTCTAGCAGAAGAAAATACCAACAAAGAATTTTAAGATGCAGTAATTATGAAGTACTTGTAATCCAGAAGGTGAAGCTCGCCATTACTTAAAGCACACAGCCCTCTTAATACTCAAGAACAGCAGAGGTTAGGTGTGCATTAAAGAACTGCAAACGTGATATTTCAGACATTGAAAATCCTACCACGGAACACACAACCTAAAGATGCAATACGTCACTTTATAGAGCATACCACCTGTACTACAAGTTTTTCCCTGCATTAAGGTGTGAGTGCTACACAGAACATTCCACATGCTTCCCTCTGTTTTCTCTTTTACATATCTAGTTACTCAAACAAATAAAGATTGCAAGATATTGCATTTATTAACTTTCTTTTTTTAATGGCCTAAAGAATACTCCTTGGGCCATAACCTGAAAAACAACTTCATGGACAGCTTTCTCAGGGTGAAACAGAACATAATGCAGGGACCCAAAGGCTTCACTGAAATTTTCTACAGGCTCTGGCACATTAGTGCCATTTATGTTGATAGATATGGTAAGATTGGTCTAAATTTCTGTGGGAAATACAGCTTTCCTGACATTTGGGTCAAGAATAAGAACTACAACACAACTGAGTAGAAGTTTCCATGCTTTCCATCTCTTGAATCTAGTTGAATTCCACAAACAAAACCCAGACAACAGAATCACAAAACAGGTAAATTTACAGTAGAAAAATTTGTATATTTAAAGTATATCTTCACCTTCTTTCAAAATTGTGGAATAATACATGTTATAATTTTGAGAGAGTATACTCAATGTACAACTTTCCTAAATTCATATTTAACTTCAATATATTGAATTACTTAAAAAAAAGAAAAAGAGACATCAAAATTTGTGATTCTGTACACTACCTGATCTGTCCAAAAAACCAAAGTGCTGTAACAAACAACTACACACAGTATTTCTTACTGAAATAGATTTACAGCTATTTTAACTCCTATATCAAAGGCACCATTTTGTTTTGTAAATATTCTGGTGTCACATAGTTTTATACATAATTATTCACAACTGACTTTTTCTTTTACTGAAGTATGTGCTAATTAGAAAACCTAAACTGCAATACTTGTTAAAAAATACAGGTGCCTAATTATCTAATCCATACATCTGTAAATGTTTTTGAACTATTTATAACAGGAACAAATATCTCAGGTATTCTGACCTTGTTTGTATCTTACAAAACTGTGCAGTTGCATTTATCCAGTGATAAAAATTAATATAAGTACACTTCACTTTCCTTAGAGACCATACTAAGCAAATGGAGACGGTTCTGAATCTCTTTATGAATATTAAAAATAAATAAATACATACCCAGCCATTAAGGCTAGAAAAGAATTTGTCTTAAGAGCCCCTCTGCAAGGAAGATGCAGCACAACTGTGGCAATACATGCAGTCATGTCCAAAACTTTCCTGCCCATGCTAACCCCAGGAAAGAAGGGCATGGGAACTTGGGACAGGGAAACATGAGCTTAATGTCCCTGTCTAAGCCCAGGTACAGTTTACCATACAAGCAACATGCTGTCTGCAGCCTAATCAAGCCCTGATATTTGACAAGACACAGTCATTCAGGCTGATGTGCCTCACCCATATGAAGACTGATTCCTCTACACTATGACAAAGTAAAGAGGAACTCTGGTCAGAGGATTGCTGAGCAGGGGCTCTGTGCAGACCCACACTTCAAACACTACCCACCTACTACCATGGTTATATTCAGTCTTCCAGTGTAGCCACCTGCACTAAACCAAGGGGCAGAGAGTGAGGAGCGCAGGCTGTCCGTCAGGCACTCCCAGGCACCCCACGGTACAGGCACACCAGCTGAGCTGGTATGCAAGCAGCATAGAAACAGCAGCAGCCAGGGGACTTTGGGAGGAGACTTTTTGGTGGTTTCTCATATGGAGGAGCTGGTGGTAGTTTAGACAAGAGGGTTGACTTCAGGTTTTTCTTAAGTTCTCATCAACTTTTAGTGACAGGTTTCTTTTTTTGTTTTTTCCCTATATGCAGATTTGCTGCTTTCAGGTGCTTCCATTATTTTCTGCTAGAAGTTTCCCAATTAGGTTGAGCTTGGAACAGGGGGGGATTAAAACCCACCACAGGTGACTAAATTAAAGTAATTAAAATTTCAGTTGTATTTTGAGTTAATTCCAGCACATGTACTGCTCTGTGTGGAAAGGAAAACAGTCAGGTTATTTTGGATCAAACAGGCTTCTTGTCACAAGTCTTTGAAAATATCAGAAAATACATTTTTCTAAAAGATCAGTGGCATGTAGAGTTGAGAATGGATTGTAAAACTTCGAATCAACAAAAAGCATCGTGAACTGTTCAGGATTCAGACAACCACTAAGAGACAAGAAAATGTCTGTGTGTTTAAACAAATGTTGTTTCAAAACAGACAAAAGTACACTAGTTTGCTGAGGCAAATATTTTAAACACAGAAGTACACAATTTATTAGAGCACATTCTGGTAACACTGTATGTGTTTCCACACATAAATTATCAGTCTCATCAACTTCAAAAGAACTAATGACATGCATTAATGTTTGCAAATCACGGCCAACAAATATTCTCCCTAAGAGAGACAATTAATAAAATCAGCATTCTGAAAGGCATACAGCAAAATGTTATTTACACTCTAAATTTACAGTCTCACACTGGACTAAAGGCAGTTGTAAGTGTTGGTTTTTTACTCAAATTAATGGACCATGTTTTGTAAGGTTCATGCAAGAATTAATTTGAAATAGGCACATGCAAACTTCTGAAGTACATCACTCACTATGTGAAAGGGAGAAAACCAAATAATATCTAATTTCTGTGTTTAACATTTCATATCTGCTCAACTGTCAGCTCACAGTGGCTTAATGGGACTTTGGTAACTGCAGCATTCATCAAGGCAAGCTTTTGGACAGCATCTCACCTGGTCTCTTCATCATCCCAAGCGATTCTCATGCCTTTCCCACCACCACCTGCTGAGGCCTTGATCATGACAGGGTAGCCTAACAGCGGGGAACAATTAGACAGAAGTTCAAACTTTGTTCAGTTGGTCAGAGGAACATGACAACTGACCACATGTCCAATAAAGCCAGTAGACAATAACTTCGTTTATTAAAACACTTTGTTTGGAGGGAGAACAGAGGAGAAATTTTTCTTTTCAAAACTTAGCTGTCAATGCAGTAATTTCTAAAGCCAAGGAAGGCTGTCTTCTCCAATTCATTTATACCAAAAAAACACTGAATGAATTATTCCCAAGAAACAAAGCGATTTATGAATAAAGCATTTGACTTTTTTAAGCTCATATCTCTTTATGAACAAAATTTTGTTCCTTTATTGCTGTTGAAATAAGCTGTGACAAAATTTTTCAAAAAATTAATAGCAAAATAAGCAGATCTTCATAAATTAATAGTCAAGAGATTGAGTAAACAAATCTGTATCTTATCAACATTTCTGGTGCAGTACATTCTAAATAAAAGAGCATCTCAAGAGCACTGCTGTTTGGATATTATGAAATTGAATCAGAAAACACAGAAAACAGATTATTGGTTCGGTTTTTTTTACAATAAAAAAGTATTTTCCCCAAATAGACAAATAGTAAGAAAAAATGAGCAATATAGATCTGACAGCATTGTACATAACAGGCAAAATTTCACCCTCAGAATAAGATACTATAATACAGACATGAGTCAGGATCTTAGTTTACTGAAAGTTAGAAAATTACAGTAACAAAGAACATATTTTAAAAGCATATTTATTAATGTAAAATATTTAGAAATAGTAATGATTATCTTTTGGTACAATCTGTTCATTTAAAGCAACTTCCTGAAACAACTTCTTCATATCAGAGAACTCTACCTTTCTTCACATGAACATATAGAAAACTGAAAATCGAGGATCTAATTAAAAAGTTTTTGATGTTTCCAAGACAGTAGAAAATCTTCATGTCTTCGGTCTCCAGTATGTTTAATCAATGTCACAACACTAAGGCAAATATCAGACCAGCTGATATTGTCTGGCAAGAAGAGCCTTTTAGTCCTTGTAAACTGAAGATACATTCTGTAAAAAGCTTTGATCTGGGGATGGAAAGAGACATTTGACTATGGTTCCTAGAAGCACTCCAGTCTGCTATCATATGTGAACTGCCATTTACAGTTTCTTCCTGGAATGTAGATCTACTCTTGCTTTCTCAAGTGATAGCAATACAACACACCCACCTCCTCCTCATAGTCATCTAACTGAAAGGAGGTTCAGGAGAAGATACTTAAAACAGCAAGATCTGGAAAAGCTTTTTCTTAAAAAGACTGAAATGGACACAAAAAAAGGCATGATGCAAGCCTAAGAAACAGTAGGAAGACAGGACAGCAGCAACAGTACAAGAGAACATTAACAAAGAAACAGAAAAAAAAAAATCAGTGAAATAGTTTCCAACATGACACCTTATTAGACTGTGAAACCCCCATGCTGTAAAGTATTCACGTGGCTGAAAGCTGTAGAGAGGTAATAATTAAGCATACATAGAGCACAAACCAACTTCTTATAGGCATGGATGACCAAAAGGCTACAAATTTTCAGGTTTTGAAGTCTAAAGTGATCTCTACTTACTAGGTATAAGGGTAAGACCAAACAGAGCTATGCAAATAACCTTTCTAGAGTCTTTTACATTTTCTTATGAAATCTGATGCTGTCCATAGAGGGGTATGAGATAAGTCACAGAGTAAAAACGGGTTCAATCCAGAACTATTAAGTATTTTCAAGGCCTCTACAATACCAGAGATTAAAGGGTAAAGACAAAATACTAGACTGCATACAGCAACAGTGAAGTTCAACTGATTTTCATGAAATGCAATAAATGTTAACATATACATACAGGTAACACTAGCGAAGGTAAACCTCTGGCAACACTGTTACCATCTGGAGACTCTCTCCAACCTAAGAGGTTGCAAGACTGAAATTTTGAAACAAGCATTGTTTTAAGCCTTATTATGGCAAACTCACTATGGCAATTTCCATCATCTATCTTATTCAGTTACATGTACTTGAAAAAAATCATCATCAGTTACGCTAACAATTTCAGTCTAACAATATCAGTCTCTTGCATGGTTTGCTGATTTTAATTCTGTAAGCAGTCTAGTCCTCATGTACTGTTCTTTAGTTTCAAAAGCAAAATAGGCAAGCTGACAGTGAGCCTTGGTGAGTCTTTATATGCTACAAGAGGTAGCTCATATCACATGGTTAAATTATCAGATAGGATAGGTTTATTATTAGTATTGCTCACCAAGTGTAGGATCACTGTGCTTCCCCTTCCTCCCACCTTTCATGTATAGCAGTTATATGTCAACCACATTTGTACGCAAGGCAGCTAAAGATTCCAGAGACCCACAATATAATTAAAAGAAGAAGAAAAAAAAAAACCACACAAAGTAAGGATTGTTTTGAAAAGATACATACAGCTTTTCAGGTTGAGAAGAAAAAATTGCAACCTCTACATGTTAGGATGTAAATTAGCCGGTCCCCTGAAAATAAGGGTACTCGAGGTTTTGCTCAAATATGCCTTTACATACTCTTTGCTCTTAGGGGCACTCAGCTGAAGAGCAGCTCTTTAGCCAATACCAAAGATTGAAAGAAAGGCTTCGCAAGTTGGCTACGGGATGCTGGGTTCAGGATGCATTACTCATCACACTCCTAGCCCCTTTTGTACTACTCAGCAGCAACCAAAACTGCTGAAGTATGTTCACATGGATTGGTTGGATTAGTTGTGGGAAGGGAGAGGCATGCAAACAATTTTTAACAGCATTTACAAGTCCCCACAACAACAGCAAAGCGTCTCACACAAAGCAGACACATTTTTGAGTAGGTGTTAGGTTTTCAATCCTTCCCTCAAATTAGATACCAATTCACATGAAATTAAAATTGCTTGTGAGATTAAAACCTACTCTCATTCTATAGTTTTACATTCCTGTGATGCATCTGAAGGATGGGTCTAAAGATCTTAAAAGGCAAGAAGGTAAGAAGCTGTCAGATTTGAAGATCATTGGGTATACTTTTGCTGTTACATAGGTATTATTAAGTTAGCACTGCTTTGTTTCCAGGGCAGTTGCTATTCTGAGAATCTGAATGGTGAAAGGAGTAAACAAACTTCTGGTGTCCCACAGCTGTTAGTTCCCACCCTTTGCCACCATGGTTTTAGATGCCATTTAACCATTTTTATAAAGTTGCAGGTAGTAGACCACAGAATGCATTGTGCAATATCAGTTTGAGCAATATTGGATGTGGCAATATCAGGTTCTTTTCAATATCCATTATTGAAAAGCTAGCAGTAACTAAATCCATGCCAAATGAAACATGACAAAAATCTTCAGTTTTGTACAGACTTTCCTTCAGTTTAACTGATTGCACTGCATAGCTGTTCAATCCTTTCAAATAGAAGAATAAAACTTCCTAGAGTTTCATCGAGGCTTCAGAAATCAAGAAGCCAATAGTTCTTAATGTACAACTTTACAAACAGACCTAAAAGCAGCATGGGAAAAGAGCCAATGTAATTAAGTACTACCAACAGGATTACAAGAGAACAGCCCACACCAAAAAATAGAGAAGGAAGACTATAGAAAGGAGCCTATATAGCAATTTGCGCCTGAACTTCTTCCAATTCCTGATTTAGCCTAATATATCTGTCACATTCTCTCTTGACAACTCAGGAGCATATCTCAAATCAAGGGCAAAAATAAGGTTTTATACCTAGAAAATTTGTAGCCATAGATAATAATCACTGAAACAGATAAAGGCAGTGTTCTCAATCCTGAAGTGTCATGGTTAACGACTACTGGATCTTCAGCCTGAACAGACAAGGAAGAAGCAGGAAAAAAATACAGGCAGTAAAAGAGTAAAAATGCAGTTTTACTGTTTTAAGCACTGACCCACAGTTGTTATCTCAGAGACCGAGACTCTGGATAAGTGAAATTAAAAACAATCTGAAAGTATTCCATTGCCTATCAAGTGCTTTATACACAAAGACAAATGCATTATACACGAGAGACTATAATTTCATCCTATTTTAGACCCTTCGAGATCAAAATCACACTTTTATTATGATCAGTGGTCACAATTAGACAGAAGCTTAACCAAACTAATCAACTGGTTGAAACGTGTGAGGAAAAAGCTAGAAAGGACATTTTTCTTTTGCTACTACATGGCATCACAGTACAAAACTTTTTTGTATCAAAACAGTTTCAAGAATTTTCCATCTAGATAAAGCACAACCCAGCTGTCTCTAATTGATTTTAATATCACAGATTTAAGACTGCCTTGATATAATGACCTCCAAAGTGCTACTGATATCAAAGACAGGAACCAGTCAACAGAACACCAGAAGAAGTAAATTAAAAAAGAATAATTTTAAAGAGTGTCTAGAAAGCCACTGCATGCCTTTAAACTTACATTCAACAAAACAGCTTTAAAAACACTTGCAGGAACACAAGAGTAAGACAGACTTTTGAACAGAAACTGAACTGAAATATAGTCATAATACTTTATTTCATAAAAAATCATATGCCTTTATTCAGGAGTAAAACCAATTTTTTGGAGAGAACTGGGATTTATTTACAGTTCTCTTCTGAATGTTCCAATCTGGTTGATAACCTCTTCCTTTTGTTTCTGCTCCCATGACAGTGATCAGTGATCACTTAATTTCCCAACAAGGACACAAAGGTTGACCCACAGAAACACTGGCTTCAATTGTGTCAGCCTAAAAGTCAGACAAGCCTACACTGAGGGGTTTCAGGACAGTTAACCAGTGCAGAGTAAAGGCCCCAACTTAAACTCAAAGTGGAAAGATCTTACACCAATTAAAAGTTATCTGCAGCAGTGCAAGTCCTACTTTCTATTAGGCACATAAGGCACAGCCATAGCTTTTGAGACAGGTGAAATGTATTTGCAGCTAGATCAGCAAGAGAAGCTTCAAATGCAGATATCTGCTTTGAATTAGGTACCTGTGATAAACCTAAATAGTTTCTAATGGTTACTGTCTCAAAGTAAAAATGAAGGAAAAATCCCAAGGAAAATTAGAAAAATCTTACTGCCTTAGATTCTTCTTTTAGCAAGCATTTAATAACATGTGTAATTTCAAGCATATGGTTTAGTATTTTCCCTAATATAAGCTTTAGTAAATAAAAGCCAAAACTCATTAAACACATATTACACTTAACCTTCATCAAAACGAGTCCCAGACAGTTTGCTGGTTGCTCTTTTCACCATTCTGTAAGATATTCAGAAGCTGAATAGTGACTTTATTCCAGCAAGCACAGAAGAAAGGCTGGTGCTCTGGATGATATTCAAGCTAACTGCAGTCCACACACTAATGAAGAATGAAGATCATAACATCACTGGTGTCAGCCTCCATATAAAGAGAAATACACCATGCCTAACTTCCATCATGTCCAATTGCAGATACACTTTGAAATAATTCCTTCAGTGAGCTACTCATTACTGCCTATTACAGGCCTTCCACAAATCATGGCTGCACTTGTTCTGTAAAGTCCAGTTTGAAAGCTCAAATGTGATGATTTAAGAGACAGGGCGTTAATGTCTAGATTCTTCTAGCCCCACGGGCAACAGGGAACTTAAAAACTATTAAAACATTATTTGTTCTATAGGGATTACTTATTACACATTCAATTTAGTCAACCATGTCTGCTGAGAGGCACACAAATCCCACCATAGCTAATTTAAGAACTTACCAATTTCCCTTGCAATTCTGACAGCTTCATCTGCATCCTGTAAAAGCAGGAAATGAGACCCAACGTTAATCCCATCAGCCATTGCACTATGTCCTGAGGGCAGTCATATATTGCACTACTGTCTCCTCCGATTCATTTAATGTTTGATTTTACAACCTTCTGACCCTTTTCAGCCAGAGGAATGTAAAATTAATACCATAAGTGGAATGTAAATTCTACCTCATCATTAGTATACTGAGAAACTCAAAGCAACAAGGAATCAGCTGACAGGAAACACAACCAGGATCGCAAAATGATTTTCTGCAGTTGTAGGAATTTAATGCTAGAATTTAGAAGTTTACAATCAATAATGGACCATAAATCACATCATTAAAGTTTGTCCACTACCAGCTTGTTTCTGTCCCCACAGATATTTCTTGTGTTTTCCTGGTTGCTGTCAGTAGGGGGAGTTGATTCTCTATTGTTTGGGAGTAATTCAAGTACAGAAAAAATCTTGCAGGACTTTTAAAGACAAATGGGTTTTGTTTACTGAAGAAAGAACACAAGGATTTCAATTCTGTAACTTCTGCATTCTGAATGCAGAATAAACCTTATATGCATCATTTTAAACTGTATCTGAAAGCAGAAGATCCCCATAATCGTTTCTACCTAAGAGTCACCATGTTACTAGCTTATGACAATTTTAAAAATCCTTTTGTTGATGCCACCTACTGCTTCAGCTGTCTCATACTACTGTAGCCTGGTACAGAAAAAAGTACTCTGAAATTCAGAGAATAAAAAACAAAATACTTAAATTGCTTACTTTTCAGTAACCAAATTGCTTCTCCTGCAGTAGTTAATTCCAGTTTCTTCTACTGATAACAATACACTTCCATTATACAAAACCAGAAAGAAAACGGGTTAAATTATAGTGCCATGGGTTAAGTTTGAAAATTCCAACCAAATTTGCTAATATTTATACTATCCCATGACATGCATTAAAAAATTTGTATGGAAGGCAGTAATGTCTGGAAATCACCAGCTGCTAAGTGTGTCTGAAACTATAGGGGCTGACTTACGAACATTAAACTGAAACCTGATATTTTTAAAGCTTTCAAGGCAATCCGTTTTAAAAGCACCCAGGTCAGAACTTTAAAAAAAAAATACATAAGAAATGTTCATACCTGGTTCATTTATGTCCGATAATAAAACAAAATCCTCTTTAAAAGTCTTCAGTACCTAGTAACAGCCCCATGAAGAATAAGGGGGCTGGCAGGGGAAGTTGTCAGAAAATTTAATTTCCTTTCATTAGCTAGTCTGCTCCACAAATCGGTGCTTGTTAAGTTCAAAGCAGTCCTGAAAGCAACATCAGTTTTAAGTCTTTTTACTTCAGTCACATCTGTTAATGAGATTTTTCCAAATAACAATTGTTTTTAAGTCAAGAGATAAATCTAGCAAAAAAAACCAACCCCCCCCAAAAAAAAATCTCAGGGTTTACTGTTTTATTACACCTTGCTGCTTTCCATGACCCTGCACCCTCCTCCAAATTTTAGCTAAAAAGGGATAAAATGCATGAAAAGGGTCATTTAAGAATGTTAGTGGTTTCCACACATTGAGTTTGAAGGTTCTTTGTTCCTGCCTGTGACAGTTATGCGAGAATACTTCCCCTTAATAGCCTCTCTGTCAGGAAGTGTTAAACCTGCCAAATGCAGACAATTAGAGCCTCTTGAACAAAATGCAGGAAGAGTGATGACTGATGAAGAGCTACGATTATAGTCGAGAAGGAAACTTTTACATTTCTTTTCTCTTGCAAATTCACCCATATATTTGCAAAACAGAATTAAGGGGGGGGAAGCAAACAGGGTAATTTTTTTTCACTTAGTTACCTGCAAACAAGTGGCTAACTGATACACTGCAGTCCACAGGAAGACAAGCTGCAAATCATTATAGGGGAACTTTTCACTGCCACTGTATTTTTATACATGCATACAACAACTTTAAGTAATAAGTGGCATCGTATCAGCAGCACTAATTGTGTCAGTTCTGGCTTGAAAAGACTGCCCAGCACAGTTATTAATTTACAGTGTTTCAACATCTGTTTCTTTTACAGTTCTAATATATTAGAATCCAAATGCTAAGATACAAGGGGGAAAAAAAAAAAAAATCAATGCATACTCAAATTCTTTAGCCTTCGAAGAGAATTTCTAAACCAGAAAGCAAAAATATGCTGTGCTTTAAAGAGAAAAATTAATGCACAAAAAAACCCAAACAACTGACATTGAAGTCTCTGGTAAGTCTTTTAATCTTTTTCCCTAAGAAAGTACGTTTTAGTATCATGAATTTCACTTGCGGATTACATAAATACAGAATCAGTTCGAGTACTCAGAAAAGGTTAGGATGGTTATTTTAGATTTTTGGTGCACAGAACTTATGGTATTCAACATTTGCCCAAAGAGAGCAAAAAAACTGAATGTTATGACACTGCCTAACACACAAGTCCATATGTGCAAAATATACAAAGCCACACTGGAACTAAAAGCATTCTGAATTATTTTTTAAAAGCAAGAGTCCTCGATGATTTACTGCTGTTTCCTCCAAAAACACATTAGCTACACTACCATTTTCCCAAAATAAACTGGAGACTGTAAAGAAATATATAATTTTAGCACCACCTTTTATTGTACAAATAAAAATGTTCAAGTAATGGTAGAAGTTTATAAAAATCCTAAGAGTTATAAAATGATGTCATACTGTTTTTACAAATAGGTGATTCCATTGAGTTAGGGATACATAAAATACTCATTTAGCATAAGAATTCCTAACCTCCTAATTTCACGAACATGCCTCTCAGCCAGGTACCAGCAGGTGGAGACAGAAAAGCAAAACTGTTCTTGATGTAATGCTAGGATAAAGCTGTTTTTTAAGAGACTCCTAGAACTGTAGAACATTGTATTAATTATAAAGAACTATATAATAGTTCTCATGGCTAAGGGTATTGGTCTCAGAGAACCTCCAGTTCATGTCTAGTCTCCAACCATGTCTTCAGCAATACAGTGATCAATTCAATACCAATATCCCAATGCAAAATTCATCCAAAACAGGTACCCAAAATTACTGTTAATTACAGTAAATTCAGAGCCCTGCTGAAGACCTTTAATGTGTCTACTGACATCAGTGAAACTAAGCAGACACAGAGACATTATTCTTCTGGGTCTACATCCAGCTGTGTTCTACCAGCCATAAAACCAGATTGTATGTGGTGAAACAATGCAAAAATCATTCTTCCCCTGCCATTGCTTTGCCAGTTTTTCACCATGACGTGTCCTTATACTCATTACTCAACATCTACTTTCTCCTTGTCACCTATTCCCTTTTACTTATTTACAGTCAATACATCATTTGAGTTCCCACTTGAGTACAGTCATTGCTCACAGGATTAATGCTAATTCTTTTGATCAAGACTGTTTACCACTACCTCTCCCAATCGAGTTTTAGAAAACTAATTGTAGTTACAATTAGCAGTAGTTAATTTTGAAATTAATTACTTTCAAATGTTCTCTGGCTGTCAGTACGACACTCTGGTTCCTTACATGTGTAGACTGGATAACCCTTGTCCCAGCCAACCGAGAAACTTAACCAGGGATGAGAAGAAAATTACTCTTCATAAAACTGCCCTCTCCACTCCCATTCCACATCTTTCCATTCTCAGTTTCATATTTCAAATGCTAGAGCATCTGCCTGTATGAGAATAGTTAGTTGTGCCTGTTATGCCAAGCATCCTCCTCTTCAATCCTTCCAGGTCTTTAAGTATACTGTTAAAGGGCTTCCTTCTTTTACATTTAATTTCTACTCACTGGGAATTTTTCTGCATGCAACTTCTCCAAGATGTTATTACAAAAGCTTAGCAACTACACTGCCTCTTATGTGTAAGTGCTAAGCAACATAAACAAGAGAGGAAAAACGTTCTTTATTCATGAAGGACCTAAGTATCTGCAGCACTATTTAACAAACCAAGATTTTCAGTGCAGTCCTGAGTTGAATAACGAAGTTGAATAACATGAAGTTATTACTCTGTATTTGCTTTAAGTATTAATGCACAAAGAATATGTGTAACAGATCTGTCTTAATTTCTGGCATTGTCAGAGCCATCAATACAGTTTTCTTCCAGTTTTACTAGAGTCTACTTTAAAGATGAAGCCATCTATAATCAACTCAAGTGTCAACCCGACATTTAACTCCTTTCAAAGACCTTTAAAATTTTTATTTCTCAAGAAATAAAGCCCTCAAAGATTTTGAAAGCTTCATAACTGATCAAAATAGGTCTCCCTGGAATGACAGAAATCCTAAACAGTCTCCAAGTCTTTGTGTGTTGCTGCTCTGAGGCACATATTTAGATCCATAGCAACTACGACAATATCAATTATCAGAAGCTTTATTTCCTAGAATTGGTAACCAAAGCACTGGCTAGCCTAAAATTTTCAGCTCCCCTTTCTGATGGAAACTACAATGCTGGCAACATCTATGGACTTTCCTTTTTCTTATTTGGTGGGTATACTGCAGGTTGTTTTTTGGGTTTAGTTATGTATTCTTTTTCATCAACACTCTTCAAATAATTAGAACTGGTGCAAGGCTGAAGTATGTGAAACTGATACGATACGGACACCTTGGGGTTAAGCAACTACCACACAGTTCTCCTTTCAATAGCAGAGGATTGGAGTTGTCAACTCAATCCTACATTCCAGTTCCTTTGCTTTTAAGGGTATCATTGCATATAGCCCATTGCCAACCAGATCACTTACACTTCCCTTTCATGTTAGGAAATTCAGATAATTGTCAAAAACAATGCAATTAAAGGTTTTGGAAACAACTGCATACAAGTAAGTTGATCAGTTTCCCTGGTTCTATGTCTACCTGTTTCATTAACCATTATCCTATTTTGTCATGTTTGTTTCTTTTTACTAGAGGAATAACAGACCTTTACATAATATTTAACTGATAAAGTGAAAAAAACCAGTGTTTTGAGTATTTGCTTCTGCATTAGAGGAAGTTTAGTGGTGTTTAAATGACTAATTCAAAGTTATCTCCTAATTAGATGTTTTTGTAGAAGTTATTTTTCAGGATTTCTAGGAGGAGGGAGATACAGGATATCAGACAGAACAGAGAACCTTATGGACAACAGCTTGGCTGCTGTTAAATGTTACAAGTGCTAAAGGACTGCTAAAACATGCAACAAAAACCTGAAAGAGTACAGTGTTCAATTTGCCTCTGCCAGACTTCAGCATGGGCACAAGTGCCAGCCTAACACTCATATGGAGCTCTCCAGAAAAGAAGTCTTTCCACTTTTACCTCTTGCAGCATATCCCACTACCAGTCATTACACAGACCACACATTTCCATCACAAGTACTGAAAAGTTCTCTTGGGCATTTTGACATCAGCTATTTTGTGATTTTATCATTCTCTCTCACTAGTCAAGTTCTCCAGGCACCCTCAGTGAAAGAGGTAATTTTGTAGAGGCTTAGCCCCTTAGCACTCTACTTACCTTTCTCATTTAGTTGGGTTTTGGGTTGGCTTTTTTCTTAAGAGTCTAAAATCCAACTTAGCTAACACACTTTTTCATGCATCTCAAAGTTTCACTCAAACTTTATTTGAAAAAAAAAAATCTAACTTGACATGTCAAGCATAAAAATTTCAATATAGGAGGTCAACATTTTATAATACACAAAAGTTTTCAGTGTACACAATAAAGGTTTTAAAAGAGAAAAGTATGTTTTAACTACATTAACAGAGATAATATAACAAGACACACAGGAAAGCTTTTAAGAGCCCAGTACTTAATCACTATAGCACAAAATAAACGAAAAAGAAAATTTACTTTAACTCTACAAACTACAAAAACATTTTTCATGTTTCTTTAGAGAACTGTTGAAAATCATTCCTTCTAAAACCACAGGAAGAACACTAGTTGTAGATTCTGACAAAGAGCCACTAACTTCCCCCATCCTCGCCCCAAGTTTTGCAACACATGAAAATCTGCACCATCAGCAGAGACCATAAAATGGAAACTTGACACCCTTTAGCAAGCTCCAGTGTTAAAATCAGGACTGTCAAGAGGTTGGCCAACAAGAAGACCTGAGAAGTGTAAAGATATGTAGATAGTCGAATCCACATCTGGCATTTAATACATTTAGCTGCCCTCATGTTAAATTTAAAATAAAGTATTTTTAGAGACTCCACTGAAGAACTCCTTAATACATCATTTATTATCACAGACTTTCTCTTCTTTTCCAAAGCTCTCTTGCTAGCAAAAATCTGTACTCCGTTTTTAATTACATCTTACTGAAAAAGAAGATAGAATTATAATTAGATTCTGCATCAGACCTTCAATAGGTGTACTTTGATTTAGACACTGTTCCTACAGTGGGCAGACAGTAATTAAATGATTTCTCACCTTGACTACTCCATCAAAGCCAGGGATCGTGTTGACCTTTGCATTCTTGGCTAACAATTTGCTTTCAATCTTGTCTCCCATAGCTTGAATAGCATGTGTGTCAGGTCCAATGAAGGTGACACCTTGCGATGCCTGCGAAGACAATAAAACTTTAGGAGACAAAAATAAAAATCAGCTTTTCTTTATACAGGTATTTTTCTCCTTTTGAACTGATTAATACAATAATGTTTATAAAACAGTAATCTGTTTATGTAACAACCTAGCAATATAATTCACATTTCAGACAGTTCATTAAAAATGTGTATGACCTTGTGAAACTATGTATACACATAGATTCAAAGTCCCTATAATTAGCATTTGTATAAATCAAAGCCAGGCCAGAGAAAAATAGCTGCAAGTGAAGATACTCCAGTCTGAAAGTTCAAAATATTCCTTTAGAAAATAGAGGCTAGTTAACTCACCCTTGAAACAGCCATAAGTGATTTACAAAGACACACTTGCTAAACTGTAACGCAGTTTAAAATTCTATTTATTACGCATTCCTAAAATCAAACCTCAATGAAACATCACAACGAAAATGTAGTCTCTTACTCAACATATTTAAGATCTTGAAAGGTAATAAGTGAAAACATATTTCCCGATTCTTTTAGGAAACTCTCTTGTCCAATACTAATGTGGAAACAGGTTAACATAATATACTTAAATACTTCAATTTCAATATGTAGGTAGAACACTGAATTGCATTTTTCTTCCTCCTGTTTCTCTATACCAACAATAGACTTCAGGAAGATGATTCAGATACAGGCATTTTTTTTCAAACCTCTTCAGGTCAGTGCTATACTGAGTTAAAGGCAATTCTATCAGAACTATTCCCTGAAAGTTACTGATTCATCAACAAGTACATGCGTGTTTCAGGTAACTGAACAGCTTTTGTACCGGAGGAGGAGAAAAAGGTATGGGGGGGGAAGATTAAAAAAAAATTCAAGCCTTGCACAATGTTTCCAACTGTTACATTCCTTTTTTTCTTTCCCAACTCTAAGACATCTGCCTAAAAACCAACTTGTTTCTAGACAATGGGCAGCTTACTTAATACCAACACTGACAAAATGGCAAATAGCCAATTTCTTATATCACAACTTATGTCTTAATATTTTGTCTTTTTGACATATCCTTGTGCTGTATATACCATAGTGTTGAAGTCACTAACAACAAAAAGTCATTGTTGAAGCTTTGTGCACTTGTGATGGTAGTACATGATCCAATCCCCGAACACAGGAATCACAGGATATGCTGAATTGAAGAGGACCCACAAGGATCATTGAGTCCAACCCTTAGCCCTGCACAGGAACATCCCCAAGAGTCACACCATCTGCCTGAGAGGATCATCCAAACACCTTGAACTCTGTCAGGCTTGGTGCTGTGACACTTCCCTGGGGAGCCTGCTCCAGTGCCCAACCACCCTCTGGGTGAAGAATCTTTTTCTAATATCCAACTTAAACCTCTCCTGACACAACTTCAGGCTGCTCCCTTGGGTCCTGTCACTGGTCACCACAGAGATCAGTGACTGCCCCTCCTCTTCCTCTCACAAGAAAATTGTAACTGCAATGAGGTCTCCATCTCCTCTTCTCCAGGCTCAACAGACCAAGTGACCTCAGACACTCCTCACCCAGTTTCCCCTCAAGGCCCTTCACCATCTTCATTGCCCTCCTTTAGATGCTCTCTAAGAGCTTAATGTCTTCCTTATACTGCAGTGACCAAAACTGCACACAATATTCAAGGTGAGGCTGTACCAGGGGAGAGCAGAGTGGGACAATCCCCTCCCTCAACCGGCTGGTGATGCTTTGCCTGATGCACCCCAGGACACAGTTGACCCTCCTGGCTGCCAGGGCATTGCTGACTCATATTCAACTTGCCTTCAACCAGGACCCCCAGGTCCCTTTCTGTGGCACTGTTTTCCAACACCTCATTCCCCAGTCTGTCTGTACATCCGGGGTTGCCCCATCCCAGGTGCAGAATCCTGCACTTTCCCTTGTTGAACTTCATACGGTTGGTGATTGCCCAGTCCTCTAATTTGTCCAAGTCTCTCTGCAGGGCCTTTCTGCCTACGAGGGAGTCAACAGCTCCTCCCAGTTTTGTGTCATCTGCAAACTTGCTAATTATACCTTCTAGTCCTGCATCCAAGTCATTGATGAAGATGTTGAAGAGCACACGGCCTAAGATGAAGCCCTGTGGAACCCCACTAGTGACAGGTCACCAGTCTGATGTTACCCCATTCACTATTACCCTCTGTGCTCCGCCCATGAGTCAACTGCACACCCATCACACATGATCTGTTTATCCAGATGGATCCTGTGAGAGACAGTATCAAAAGCTTTACTGAAATCCAAAAAGATTACATCAACTGGCTTCCTTCTCTTGATCAGCTAGGTGGGTTTTCTTGTCATAAAAGGAAATCAGGTTGGATAAGCAAGACTTCCTTCTCATGAAGCCATGCTGGCTCTGAGCAATGACCGTGTTGTCTTTCAGGTGTTTTTCGATACTTCCCAAAATAATCTGCTCCATAACTTTACCAGGCAAGTAAGTGCCTCATAAGAAGTGAGACAGACAGGCCTGTAGTTTCCAGGGTCCTCCTTCTTGCCCTTTTTGAAGACCAGGACAACGTTCACCAGCTTCCAGTCAGCTGGGACCTCTCCAGATTCCCAAGACTGCTCAAAAAACATCAAGAGGGGTTTTGCAATGACATCAGCAGCTCTTTGAGGATTCTGGGACAAATCACATCATTCCCCATAGATTTGTAGGGATCCAGCTGAAACAGTAGATCCCACACAGTCTCAGGGTTGACTGGGAGTTGATCATTCTCACAGCCATGATCCTTCAGCTGAGGGCACTGAGACCCCCTTGGTTCATCATCCATGTTGAAGACAGACAAGGAAAGCATTAAACACCTCTGCCTTGTCTCTGGCCCTGTTTGTGAGGTGACCATCTGTAACAGGACAATGATATTTCTATACTGCCTATTGCCATTAATGTATTTGAAAAAGCTCTTTTTATTGCCACTCACATTTCTGGCAGCTTCAACTCCAGTTGAGCTTTGGCTGCATGAATTTTCTCCCTACGGTGGCAAGCAGCATCTCTGAATTCTTCCCATGTCACTTGATCTTGCTTCCCTTGGGCATACACATTCCCTTTTTGCCTTATTTCCAAGACAAGATCCCTGCTCAGCCAAGTCAACCTTCTGCCTTGTCGCTTGATTTCTGACACTTGGGAATTGCCTGGTCCTGTGCCCTTAGGAGGTGATGCTGTTTTTTAAAGTTGGGGAACAACATCCTTCTATTCATGATCTTACAAGAGCTGAGAGATCCCAACATGCTTGGGAGTCATCACTTTCACTGTCAGCAGCTTCCTAGCCTGAAGAGTATAACAGCAGAAGCTCTGAGTAGGCAAGTTATCATCCTAGCTAACAGGGTGCTAGAAATAGAGAAAAGATCAGTGCAAAGACACCCAAAACAAATGCAGAGCATCAGTTCTGCTACAAAGGATTGTTAGCTTCAATTCACAATGAACCAACTGAGGTTTCATCTCAGCCCAGCACTTCTCTACTACATTCAGCTTCTTAGTTCAGCAACTCAGTAATACTGATTTGATTAATGGATGCCTTACCAAGCTGGGAAGAGTGAAATAGGAGGAAGGAAGAAAAAGGAGGACCAAAACAAGGGTGCAGATCTATAATTATTTAGTGTCCAAATCCTTTGGTACTACAAGAAATTTATTTTTTAAAGAAGCAAAGAGTTGACACATGAAACCACAGTGGCACAAAGTTTGGATCTGACTTTTTCAGAAAAAACAGATTTTGACCTGAAAACTGATACTTCATCCTCTCTTAACAACGGAGTTGCAAACAGGCACCTGCATACACCTGGAGATAAGGCAAAGTTCTCTTCTGTCATCAGACTGTATTCTAACCTCAAAAAGCTGTGTGGAAAAGGTTCATTTACATACTTAACAACCAGAGATTACACTGTCCCTCTTGTATCACTCCTTACCTGGAAACACCTTGTATCTACAGTTTCTGCCACAACACTGGCATTTACATCCTGATCAATACCACTTTAAACTCCATTATGTACTGCTTCCTCTCCTCACTTTCTTCTCAAAGTCTACCACTAAAAACATGGACTCACCAGAGGTCAAGACAGTGGGTCCATAACTTTTGCTGCCCTAACAGACCATCCAAGACTTCTATCTTGCAGTCTATTTCCGTACTCTCACAGTATTTCTCTCTCTCCTCTGACTTTGTTCTGACAGAAAATAAACCTTCATTCCAACTGGAGGTCACTGGAGGGGATCAAAATTGCATTCATGACATCAGCAAGCACACACCTTTCCAGCAAAAGGCACATAGGGGTCATTGTGCTTGACTGTCTCATGTCACTGGCCTGTGGCATGGACTTCCCAAGTACCTGATTCATTCCCTGCTCCCGTCCAAACAGGTAGCTGGATAAGAAGAGAACAGCACCACTTAGGAGAGATTCATGAACCACCTGAGAAGGAATGCTCCAGGTCATTCAAGAAATTAATCTCCACATCCATTATATTTGTTACATGAATCCTATAGAGCAGTAATATTCCACATGGATACAGTCAATGTTACTTATCAAAACTTAGGTACCAGATGATATGCAGCAGATTCACATTACTCTAATGCAAATATAACCTGGTGCAACCTGCATCTTTGTCTTTTTTTAATGTATACTTTTCATAACCCAGAATTTACAAACTGCACTTGTCTACACATGCACCTCTCTGCTTTAACTGCTTTGAACCTTTGTACCTTACACATGGTGAACAAGCAGCAGCTTAGTACCACCAGCTATTCCCTGATACGGTTAATCAATTCAGGCAGTTACCACTGCCATTTATTTTCCAGCAACAAAACCTGAAACAAAATAGTTTAACTGAATGTGATATCACAGGACACCTAAAACCACATCACTCTGCATGCTGCAACATCCATAAATCAAAAATAAGTCACCAAACCAAAGGAGTTCCCCTGGTTTCCAGTCAGTATGTCTAACCATCTCTTACATAGAAGAAATGTGCATTGTCTGAAATGACTTGCAACCAACTTTAGT